CTTTATCCCATGGTTGATCAGTGAATTGTTGGTATTAACTTTGGCCCCAATTTCACGCGAAATCCCTCCGCCGTTTTTGTTGATTAGTCTTCGTTGATACATACATAAACTTCGTCATTCGGGATAAATTCGAAGTTACTGCGACGCGGCGATAACGCAGAAGAGCTTTTATTGCGCCGACGAAATATAAGGTAAATTAGAATTGAATGCGCGCAATTAGATGGATATTTCGAATGGCAGAAAAAAATACAATTACTAATGCAATTCCTGGTAAAAATTCTGAAATTCCTCTCGAACTCGCGCCGAGTTTAATTCGATTCCGGGGAATTAGTGAAGTAACGAGAAATGTTAATTGCAAGTTTTTTCCCGTCCGGTTTACGTGACTTAAGTTTTCCACGGGCATAAAGCTGCATTTGCATTCAATTTGTCCTTCTCTCATCTGATGTTTGTAGTTTAGACCGAGGATAATTATATTTTAGAATCGGATGGAGCGTTTAAAAATATAATTAAAAATTATTTTAGTATGCAACAATCATAAACATACCTTATAAAAGTGTTAAGGTCTCACAAAAAAGGGTAAAGTAACGATAAAATAAATGTTTTATTTTACACCCTAATACAGTAATTTTTTTGTAACAAAAATTTGTTCCACTCTTTTTTGTTAGGCACTATAAAATTTAATTTCCTCAGAAATATTAAGGTTTATCGGACAAGCGTATGGGATTTAAGCGGGGAAAGGGAGCAAATATTGCTGGACTGAAAAATCCCAATAAACCAAAAATTTTATATTAAATACTTGTGTCGTTTACGCACATGATATTTTCTTTATTCTCTTTCGATTCTTCTTTAGTACTGGCAATTGGATATTCAGGCTATATCCTAGAGGCACTATATCTGTCCGTCGATTTCGTTCGAGTTTCACTGTGCATCCATTGAATCGATCCCGATAGAGAAAATGGCAATTTTTCCGACGTTTCTTTTGGTGCATTTTATCGATTCGGAGTTTGGACAGTAAACGAGTTTGGCGGTCGAGGAAGCTCGGACGTGAAAACATTCCATTTGTGTGTTGTTGATATAAAATATTCAGTATCTGGATTTTCCTCTACCGGCTTGAGTTTATCGAATAACGCCCTGTGTTCGATCGCATTATAATTTACGATAATACTATAAAGGATCTTTTCTATCTTTCTAGCAAACCAAGCATATCTAAAATATTGATTTCATGCTTATTTGGATAGAGGCCAATATTCCAAATTTCCAAAATGGAATATTTTACGCTACCAACAAAGGCTCATGAGTAAAGGAACTGTAAAAATGCGAGTGATTTTTTCGAACTCGCCTACACAATCGTTGAACATCGTTTCTTTTTAAAACTCCGTTGAGATTTTCTATGTAAATAAAAATTTTTCGATTCGATGAAATTCGAAAATTTAGCGTCGGAATTAAACGTCGCGACGTCTAATGTCGCTCGCCCTACTTGTTTCGAATTGATAGCGATCACGAATTTCTCGGATGCTCCGAAAAATTCCTCCCTTTAACAAGTTTACTTCCGCTTATTCGCCAAAAAAATGCAATGCCGTACACTGGAAGGTCTTTATCCGCCGTTTAATAATCCAATAAAATTCTCCTCCAGCTCAATAAGTACGTGTTTTATTATATTACACTACACTCTATTTTCTTTAGAAGAACTTTACGATGAAATTACCTTAACTTCGACTCATAGCCTCATACACCATTAAAATTCATCGCCCTCTCAGGTACCGCCTATGACGGAAAATTGATAATCGATATGAATAAATTTCTCTCGAATTTTCCGCGAGAAGATCGGGCCGAAAAATATGCCGCCATTACGATCAAGAATGTTTTTTGTAACGTGAACGGCTGTATAACCGGTTGTAAAATGGCGAATCCTTTATGAAAGCGGAACGGCTCGAGCCCGGGGCCCGGAAAAACCGCCGACCGAGGGAAGAAAAAAGGTCGATCCTCGAGGGAGCCTGAAAGAGGATAATTAAACGATCGGATCGTCCGAAAAGCCAATATATTCAGAGTAATCGATTTTATTGAATACAAGTACCTACCTACTCTTCAAAACAAAAAAAATCTACTCGACGTTATCTCACATACACCTATTAAAGTTGGTAAACTACAAGTGTTGTGTGTAGAATGGCAATTTCGCTAATACGCTTAACTGCTCATTAACGATTAAACCCGGAATAAATCGCTTTCTATGAGGTGTATATTCGGGACAAAATAAAGGAAAACGACGGAAGCAGTTGAGCTTTTAATGACGGTGCATCTCCGAAATGCAAGAGCGTTGTAGTGTCGTCGGTGCGGGTGCAAAAATTTCAAATTAACCCGAACAATAATCTAATTTCAGGGCCGGATGACGAGCGGATTAAAATTCCCGTCCGGAGGCTCGGTTAATTTTCGATAATTGGTTTGGAACTTTTAAATACTCCGGAGCATTCGTCTGTGACGCTAGACGGCTTCCCATAAAAGGATTTCCATCCAACTTTTCCCCGCGATATTAGCCAAAAGTATGAGTAAAATTAGCTTATTATCCAATTATAATTAATTCTTTATACTTATGCGTATGGTTTCCAGTAAACATTTTTCCATTACATGGGAGTACGGTAAAAACTGCAGAGAAAACGAATAAACATAATAATAAAGTCAGTGTAATAGCGCGCTGCCATACGGCGGAATGAACCGAATGCGCGCTTTCCGCGTTGGTTTTTCAAAGTTTTATTTCTGTCATTATTCGAAAAGGAAATTAGTTCGTTGGGGGCTCTCGTTACCGTTGACAAGGAAAAATTTACGATAGAGTCGTGGACAACTGGAAAAGCGGGCAATTTCGCCGGCTCTGTTGCGGCTCTCTCGCAAGTTTTAATTGTATTCCAGAAGTATTAGACGGTAATTTTATTGTTAAAAATATGTATCGAATTGTAATGCAGTAGTGGAAGTTTGTTTCGAAGTTTCATGCTCAAGCTCTGATTTCAGTAAGTTTGTGACGCTAAACATTTAATATTGCAGTCACCTGGTTAGCAAACAATATTCGAACGGACCGTAGCAGTAATTTTAATATCGACTACAAAGGGTTTGTTTTACAGTCCGCATGAACAAAACATTTATTTCAATTTGTAATTTACACTAATATCGAAAATAACCAGCTATTATTACCCGATATATTGTCAATTTTCACGTTTACAATCCGAATAAAATATTTTATGCGTTATAGATAGTATTTGGAAACGCATATGGAATGATTTCGATTCCAGGTAAATATTGAAATATTGACTATTTGTATTCGTGTTATATAAAGAATTTTCCGACGCAAAACCTCCCTAATTTAAGTATTGCACCTAACAGGCCGATTTATTTAAAGCATCCCATTTAATTAGAAAAATCGTCATCGTCACTCAGGCGAAAGTAAACCGTTAATTACTCCAAAGTTTTTTCCATCAACCTTATTAGTTTTACGCAGTAGATGCCCTGGAAATAAATTGTGGAATAAGGCGTTTCTGGAAATCGAGCACAGTTCGTACGCCGGTATTAAAATTTCATTGCAAACAAATAAATTCCGCGTACGAATCGTTGTTAGTAGGAGGTTTATGAATTCCAAATTAGCTTCTTTAGAGCGCTCTAACACAATGGGGCATAAATTAAAATCGATGCGAAATCGACAATTGTTACAATTGCATGGGCGATAGTGTTTTTGCGGATCCATCGACCGCAAATGACTAATCGCGCTATGAAATAATCTACGGTTTCGGCGAAATCGAACACTTTTTTTCCGTTTCATCGAATAGAAACGAATTTCCGCGCCGATGAAATTTTTCCAATCGAAAAGGAAACACCAGCCTCGGGCAACCGCGAAAATCGCATTAGGATTTCATATGCGCTTGTTGTTTTCCTAATGAAATTTGTCCATAAAAAATTTAAATTAAAAATAACAATTTCTTACAGGATTTTTTCCTGTAAAAAATCTGGAAAATACACGGCTTAATATTTAGGGTAAACATTACATTTTTTAGTAATAGCTTGTCATTCGTAATGTGCATAAATCGCCTAAATAATAGTAAGAAAGCGCGGTGCATTACCGAGCCGAGAGAAAGGAGAAAGTCGTAAAAAGTTCCAAGCTCGCCGGATTACCGGACTAAAACCGGAATTTTAAATTCGAATCATATTCCAGGCGAAGCAATGTCGAGAAGAGAAACGCAGGTCTTTCGGAGTAATGGAGATTTTAGAGAAGCGCCCGGCTGATTATGAATAGTATTAACATAATTAACGGGAGCCAAAATGAGGTGAAAGAAAAACGATGATCGTTAAGGAAATGTCGGTCGGGGGCGGCGCGAGGGGCTCTCATTTTCCCATTTCTTCGGAGATTTCCTTCAGGATACCTCATGTGCCGGGATGGCGACTTTTCCGACGATGGAAATATTCATACGGGACCCGGTTTAATTGTTTTCGCGACTAAAGGAACTTCGGGTCGGTTGATTTCGAAAATCTTTTCAATAAAACGTCGGGGCAGAGGAAAAAATAAGCAAAACAAACAAGACCGACCGAAAACGAGAAGCGGTGTTCTTTTTCGACGGGGACGGGCGATGAAATATTCTAATCTAAAATTCAAATCTCAAAGAAAATCAGTTGCTTTGGAAAGAACGCCGACGGGCGAGCTTCAAATGCAATCGAAATTTAATATTTCATTTTTACGGGCCGGTACGCATATTTAGGAAGAGGCGCGGTAGTTTTTCAAACCTGTCTTCTCTGCGTTATTATACAGTGTGACTCGATAATCTAGTGATCTACTATTTTTGATTTTTCAATATCTTTTGAGAAGATATTGCATTTTGGGTTAAATGTAAAACATGTAATGGGAGTGCCGTTAAGTAGACACCCTGTATAACAATCAATTATTAGTAATTAATTTTATTATGAGTAACTCTAATTAAATTAATTTGCAATGTTACTGTATAAAAAATAAATTATGTGAAACTTACCTATCAAACATTTTTTACTCTTTCCAAACTTTCAAAATTTTTCACCTCTTAAAAGTAAATTTATCAACTCGCAACAAACCGGAAAATCAAAAATTTAGCACTGATCGTGCATCACTGTATCTGCAATAAAGTTTTCCCGCTACAGCCGGTGAATTTTCGCCAACGCGAAACACCTGTTTTCCGAATTTAAAGGTTATCCCGTCGCCGACGATCGCTTTTCACTGGGATTTTCCGGCAAAGCGCATCGCGTTTCCCACAGAGTCCCGCGGCAGACTGAAACGCCGGGCACCCGGGAAACTCCGACGGGCGTCGAGGCGGCCCGGGAAAGCGCGAGCGGAAAATTCGCCGTCGAAACGTAAATGGCTTTCCGTTGGAGTTTTTCGCCAACGTTTCCATGAATTATTGCACACGTCCTTACTCCAATTTGGCCGGGCGTAAAGCTCGGTCCAAATTGTGTTTTAAGAACACGGCACCGGCCGTCGCGACGCCGGTATAGGTGAGGCGTCGCATCACCGGATAATCCGGCGGAGCCCTTTTCCCACGCGGACACGCGACGCGGAAAGTTTTCAATGAGAATTGATGCGAGTTTTCCGGGCCTATATTGATGATCAACTCGCCGTAGGAAAAGTTTTTTTTTATTAAAAGGGGATAGTCGGCAAAAGTTTGTATTGAAAAAGCATCAGGATTGGATTTTCCTTTTTTATTTCTTTTGTGGCTTCTTTCATGTCTGATACATATTATTTTATGTTATATGTATACCGCGTGAGCCAAATACATAATTTCAATTGAACAAAAAGTTTATGTTGCGGAACAAATAAGTTTGTTTGTAGGCACCTCACATCATATTCCCGGAGGAATGTGCAGTGTAATCGACTGAATGTGTATTAAATTTCATAAGTGAAATGCCCGTGATTAATGTTCTCGGGGTGTCAACCCCGGCCGAGGAAATAAAGTATGCACGCAAAAAGAAGTGAATCCTCTCGGGTAATGCGGAGAAAGACATTCGATTCAACGTGAGGCGACTCTCTATTGCAGTCAACGCAATTTCATCGCCGCAATGAAGAGCAAAAAGCTCGTCGAAAAAACTTTGTGGGAGATAGTCGATTCATTGATGGCCCTTTCATTAAATTAATAATGATATATTCCAATTGCACCTTATTTGTATGCCAAGTGGGTAGCTTTAGAGTGCTAAATTTCAACTTACACTTAGCTGTTTTTTAACTTCAACATTTTTAATTGCAAGAAATGGAAGTAGTTTAGTAAAAAAGTTTAAAAAATGTATCTTATGGAATTTGGTACGTTTTATTTAACATATAATTTGGTCACATTTTCGACGAACACGTTCATAGCAAGTTACATAAACATTATCTATAACCGGGTTTAAAATGCGAATACTATACAGGATGTCACAATGAACAGTAGCCCATTTAATCAGCCAATCAAATTGGGCTACTAGTGAGTGGACTACTTTTCATTGGAACACCCTGTATTGGTATTTTATAAGTAGCTCGGTAGGAAGAGTAATGAAAAAAAGTTATGTTGCTTTAGATCTTTTACAAGAGTACATCTCTATTTCTTGAGATTTAATACACATTTTACAGAGCTTAGAACTAGTTCGTTAAATAAATAATAAACATACAGGGAGTTAATTAATTGAGTGCCGACACTTCAGGATGTGAATATTTGGATGATTTTAATGAAGAAAAGTTTATATCAATATATGTCCGAAACCTCTTAATTTTCGAACTACAGGGTGTCGCAGTTTTAGAAAAAAAATTTCTTCTTAAAATCATCCGAATATTCACATCCTGAAGTATCGGCACTCAATTAATTAACACCATGTATAAATCAACATGTATAACATTAAAATATATTTCGTCGAAATAAACACACTAATATAAAACTAAAAATGCTTCTAATTGCATACGTTAACCAGCAACGTATGCTTTTAAAACTTAAAGTTACAATATTCTTATTACACCACCAAAAAACCCGTTTGTCGCAATCGTATTAACTAAAACTTTATTGTAAATTTATTGCTGCATTACTGCGTATCAAGCAAACGAGTATACTTATAATACAAACTAACAGTTTTCGATTCTGATTAAATTGTATAAGTACATACATTTAGAAAAGACGTTCCAAAACGATCTACGCTCATAAAATCAGTCTATCGAGAAATTAAGAATATCCTTAAAGTCTTTCGATTATTGTTAAGTTTCAAGTAAATTCAACATTCTCTCATAATGATGTGATGTTACCTCAAAACCAATTCATATACTAGCGAATCATTATCACAGCTTTAAAGCAGCCGTTCCCTTATCAAAGAACAGGATTTAAAGTATTCCCTACCATTGATAAATCATTCGCAATACAGTAAGTGTATTCATACTAAATCTATATTGCCATTTAATTTGAAACATGCACCATCAATCCACACGATAGCTATTACACATCAAAAGTATTATTTTGAAATCCACCCAAAATCCAACTCAAATAAAACAACAATTTCTTAAAATAAAAAACAACCAATAGTAAAAATAAAACATCAACTAATATTGTAAATATAAAAATAATTCTCAGATACTACTGGTTAGTAGAAATTAGGACCAATAGACTCACAGTGATTACGATACATTGGTTATTATTACGATATATGGGTAAGTGCAAATTTGTTTACAATATGCTCAATTCTACTAGTCGAACAAAGAAAGATTGTTAAAATAACAGTGGTTAGAATGAGTTTGCAATCCCAGATTATTATTTCTTCTTTCTTTATACGAGATTAATGGAAGTTGCCTTTGTTGCAGCCATATTACACACAAATTTGCACCTATGTGTATAATATATTGCGCCAAAAGAACTAATTTAAGTCGGTTTGGGAAAATAACTGCTACTACTTTTTTCTGTAGGAGGATCATCCGTATCGCTATCATCCTGCGGTTCCTGCGATTCCGGTAATCTGATAAACGGCAAATGTTCGCTTCCGCTCCACATCGAATACAGATTCGCATGAAGTCTCATCGCCTCCTAAAGCACTTTTTACATTAGATATTTTTTTCTATTTACAATACACGAAACGTACCGTTCCGCTAGCCTCGCTCGCCGAGCCCCGTTCCGAAGAGCTCGTCGTAGAACGGCTGTGAATCGACAAGCAAGAAGAAGAATCCGTAGACGAGCTGCTTTTCCGCGAAGTCAGCGGCAATCCCGAAGGAAATATATCACAGTGCTCCGTAACGGACATGCCGCTAGAGTGGGGCACGTCGATTGATTGCCAATTACCCCTACGAAAAACCACTTTATTTCCAATGAAGTGAATTAGTAATAAGTAGGAAACCTTTGAGACGCGGGTCCTGGGTACATCATCCTTCTGTGCATCCGTTCTTCGGCCGTTTCGCCCCAATGGGGCATGTAGTGGGGCCCTGCGGTTTGCGGAATCGAACACCTAGCCGGTCTACAAGACAACAAATGAATCGCCTCCGCCAATCCTTCTGCACCCGATATAACTCCCGGACCGCCCATTAGTGGTTGAGAAACCGGTGGTACTGTTTCTACAACACAAACACCCCTTTATTCAATACAACAGACTTATTCGCTTCATTTACCAGGCGTTGTGCTTCTACTCTTCTCCTGCGAATGTCCGGAAGGTACGGTGAGTTTAGTTGGTAAATACCGCTGCTGGCCCGGAGCTGTTGTTTCGCCCCAAGCAGTGTCCCAAGGCATGGACCATCTTCTTCTCGTCTCGTCCCCGTTGTCCCCAGAAGCTTCCCCGACGCCTGCCTCTGACCATCTACGCTGGCAGTTCAACGGGAACAACGGAAAATGTAGGGGCGATCGGGAACCGCGACCGGGAAATTGCGATTTCATCGAATGTAGCGAACCAGGTACTGGAAATGGACCTAAAATGAGTAGCAAATGATTGAGGAATTTTGTAAGGTAACGTTTATTTCGCTACCTCTTAATATTTCTAATGGACAAGCGCTTCTGCTGCTCTCTCCGAAAACGTGTATAGGACTGGGGCCTCTAATGATACCTTCCGTGTGGGGAGAATGTTCTCTGGTTGACTGAGGACTGCGCTGTCTAGGAACTTCACATTTCGTTTGGTCTTGATTTTTCGGGCTGTCTGCTGCATGCTCGCTCGCCAAATGGGGACTAGATCTCTGAGATGAGGATTCGTGTGTGTACAATCTGTAAAGCAATCAATTTATAACAACCACGTTTAAAGAAAATTCATATCTGCTAACCTGTTAAAGCATTGTTGTAATGCAGCCAGACTGCATTCTGAACTATGCACGCCACCTGGAGCCGTTTGGCACAAAGGACACATCGCCATAGACCCGAAATTTTCACAGCCTGCTATAGAAAACTGATATTGCAGATTAATAAACGCCATCAGATTTTCCATTATTATCTGTTGATTGTGATCCTGTTGTCTTTGAGCGTCGCTTTCCGTAAACGTTTCACCTTAAAAGTCTGTATTAATTAACTCTATCTAATCTGATTTAAATATTACCTATGCTCATGTCCTGCATGGCATTGGCGATGTGCGTTTTAACGGAATTACTGGCTATAACGGTTGATTTGGAAAGTTCTTCCCAACTAGACTGACATTGTAATGCTAAAGGAATGTTTTGCATCTGGGACAAATTCGCTAGTGATTGAGAAAGTCGCTGGCCTGCTGAGCACATGCTATTCAGCATCTGGAAGGATCATCAAGTGAGGATTGCGATTTATTAGTAGCAATTTAAAATTGAATATACCTGTAAATAGTGAATCCAGCTATTTAAACAATCAGCAACTGCCACTCTTAATGCATTCGGGCTAAGTTGGTGCTGGTGTTGTTGTTGGGGTTCCTCAGATTTTTTCTCTCTATCGGTTTCTCCTTGCTCCATGTTCGTAATATTTCGTAAAAGAATATGTAAAAATCTAAAAGTTTTTTTGTTATTTTAAGTGTTTAAGTAAATAGTCTATTGTACATTCATTTACCTACTTACCTATTGTTTATTAGGGATAGTTAAGTAGATATAATAATTGCAGAAAAGGGCGTAGAACTAATATCATCTTTGCAAAATTCGATATGAATTAACATTCCTACATCAATACACGAACGAACTTGTATTAATCTTTTTTAACGAAATAATACCATCTTATTTAGTCAGTTAATTTCCTTTTTATTGAATTAATAACAATAATTTAATAAATAAAACATAAACAAATCACAAATCAAATCTAAACTTCTTCTATTTTCTTATAAATATAAACGTCAAAGAAATGGTCTTTTTTGTTGCAGCTTCTCAGTTTCCAATCGGCTAAACTGTCAAGTAACAAACGCTTCTCATTGGTCCGATGCGCGAAAAGTTCGTTAAATCACCAGCGTCGCGTAGCAAAGAACGCGAATAACGACATTTTACGAACGTAAAACGCGTAAATCATTCTTCTGTTTGGCGGGAGAGTAACGAACCCTCGCAAAAAAGACCCAGGTAGAAGCGACGCCGCGCCTGCGCGCTGCCCATTTTCTTTGTATAATTTGAAAAGTCCGGTTTGGTTTGTCTTCGTCTCGTTCCCGTTTGCATTGCGGGGCAACTATTATTTCGCTTTCGCTTTTGATTTGATCGAATCGAGTGTGCGAATCTGCAAGCCGAAAAGCCGGTCTCGTTACAAGCCGAGGTGGTTGTTCCGATAAATTCGATTTATCTAAATAAAATACTGGTGTATTAGTATTATCTTGGGTTTGTTGTTTGATCTTATTCGTGAAGGAGGTTTATATAGATAAAGGTAAGTTTTTTAGTGGGTTTTAGGAACGGGTTGCTTGATTTTCTTGTTATTTTGCAGTAGCCAAAATGTCCGATGAAGAAGTTCAAACAAAGAAGGGCCGCAAAACCGCCACAGAGGCCGCGAAACGCACGAAAAAGGTAATTATTTTCGGTGTTGTTTGAAATTGTTGGGGTTTAATTTAGGGGAGGGTTTGAATTTCTAAGTGTATGTGTACATGTACGTATACCGCCATTTCTGTTCTCATGAGAACCAAGCCAAGCCAACTAGTTTAATTAAGAATTTTTTTATTAGTCTTGATATTTTCTTACAATATTCCTATTCATTCTCTAATTTAATAATATATTTAATTTGAAGCTCCTAAAATATAATAGTTAATTGAATTATTAAATAATTAATTTTCATTAATTTTTTAGATTAAAAAATTGTTCTTTAAGAAACACAAAACACTTAAATATAAATTTAAATCATACCTGTAAGGTACGCAAATGTATGTTTTTTGTTTAAACAAATTTTTGTATATTTTTTACTAATCTTATTAATAAAACAAATTATTTTGAAGGATGCCAAGGCAGAAGCTGACGAAGCTCCTCCAGTAAAAAGAGGCAGAGGAAGACCGAAGGGCACCTCGAAGAAGGCCGAGAAGCCCGAGAAAACCGAGAAGAAGGCCCCGAAAGCCAAAGCGAACGGAGGTAATTGTCGAAGTTAATCAGCGAATTATTTCCATTGATTAAATTCGTTTTTAGTTGGCAGACGCGGCAGAAAGAAGAAGGAAGAAAAGGAAGAGTCCGCTGAAGAGGAAAATGGCGACCAGAGTAGCCCAAACGAAGACGAGGAGGAGGACGACGAATAAATGACTAATATTAAGATCTCATTTGCTTTCAATTTTAAATGATTAATTTCAATTGCTTTTATTTTACGATTAAGTGTATCTATACTAATTTAAATGTACGACTGATTTGTAATAATTAACGTAATTCTTGTAAATATTTTAGTTTTGTTCTCTTGTGTTTCTGAAGATGTTTTTTTCGTAAATGTGTCAGAACAGTATATTTCAAAATTTTTATAACGATTTAATTGTATTAGAGATTATTAAATACATGAGTTTTCAAGATAATTACTCGATTTTTAATACAAATTCCTTAATTACAGTAATTGCAAATTTTTTCGTTTATAGTTTTGATAAAATTTTCAATTGGCAAGATTTCTTCAATGAATTGTCTTGTACAGTAGAGGTCTAGATGTTTGAATATAAAAATGGACAATATTATTAAAATATTTATTAAAAAGAAAGTAGTAAAACATTATAAAAAAAATGTAACACCTTATGTAAATGTAAACATTAGAAATCGAAAGCTAAGTGCAGATCAAATTAATTTGTCTACTTTCATTACAGCCTTTTATTTTGATGCGAAATCAAAGACATCTTCACATGAATGAGATTCAAAATACATACACAAAAAATTAAAAAAAAAAGGTTGATCAATAAAAGCTAGTACAAAACACGATTATAATTTCAATAAATTTCTCTAGAAATTCAATCAAATACTATTCAATAGTCTAATTTGTTTAACCATTTGAAAGTCCTGTAGATATTCACTGAAAATATAAAACTAAATTTATGTACATGTTAGAGCTATAATCGAGGTATTATATCGAAAGGAATTTTAAAAACTATTTCTCCGAAAATAAAAAAAAACAAAGCACAATATCTATCACACAAAATAAAACCTAATGACAAACGATTCAACATTTAGATGTTCCAATTTCGATAAATGAAGATGCCTTGTTAACATTTCTAAAAACTAAAGATTAGATTTTATGTACAAGTATTTCTGAAATATAGTTCTACTGCGGTGGAGATGTAATAGGCCTCTTGAAAAGCAGTATGTGAGGTTCTGAAACAAAAATCAATCAATATAATAAATTATAACAATAAAATAAAATTATTACAACATAAATGTTCTCGTTTAGAAACCAAAACATAACGCATATAAAAAATATAATATTAGATTTACAAATAAAATATATGTATGGAATATTAATGTGATTTGTTTACATGAATAATGCATAAAAATTGAAAGTTGTGGTATAACAGGTTAGCTATAACAACAGAACCAATGACAATATAAAAAAGTTGTTCAATCCTATGGATTAGAACTAAAAAGATAAATAAAATATTTATGAAGATCTGCATAACATTGGAGAAAAAGGGAAGCTTCCAAAGGCAACTAGATTATTATACAAAACATTTTACGAAAACCTTTCACATATGAAAATTCTTCCGTTTGTATACCCTTAAAATTGATTTTTTTACTAATTTTCACTTCACACTAATTAAACGTTGTTCTTAGATTGTCCTTTTTGAGGTTTTTACCTGGTGCATGTATCATATAATGAATCCATCCTCTACTTTGCTGGACACCAATGCTTCGCCACTCTTCTTCGGACATTAAATGTGTTTTGGGTACTAATTTTGTCATTTCCCTCGGTAGTACGACGTGCCTAAAACACAAAAACCGCGTTAAACATCGAATTGCAAAAAATCACGCCAAACAAAAAATAAAAAACAGTACATGTATCGAACTTGAAAGGTACACTTCTTACCTGTATTCGTACTCATCGTCGTAATATTTATCGGAGTAGAATATATTCTTTTGCAATTCCTCTCGGTTCATTTTCACGATATTTAAAAACCAATTAATCCAGTACTTTTAGCAAAACTACGAAGAAATCACTAACAATCCCAACCAAACAAAGCGGCTTTACAAAACACACGTTCGATGTCGTTTACCGTTGACGTTTACTTAAATTTAGTTTTTTTTTGAAGTTTCAGGTCTACCAACCGCCAATTCCCACTCTCTAGGGAATTAAACAGTGCGAGCTCCCGACTCGAACGAAATAAAACGAATAAAACCGAAGCGCTTTTTGTAGCTCTGAGTATAGGCAACACCTATTACAATTTAGCCGAATTGATAATTCAAAAAATTATTTTGTCATTATCACTTCTAGAGTTAATAAAATATTTGGGAATATTTGTAACCCCTTTATAGAACTATGAAAATTTTTATTAAATAATACAATAGATTCATAAAATCATATAACCCATTTCATCATATGAGAATAGGTACTAGATAATTTATAAATTGCTCGATTATATTCTCCAATATCCAAGTAGACAGGTAATATACATTCTTATCAGGATAATAACTATAAAGAAGCCCCGTCATCCTCTAAGTAACACACGATAAACGGATATAGAAGGATATAAAAGGACTATACCCCGTCGATGAATTTATAACCGTTAAGCGAACGTTATCCTTATAATCGTGCAGCCTCTGAAAGGATCGCGATGAAGTGAGGCGACCATGAAATCGAATGTTTGAATATTGATAACGCCGGGCGAACGAAATGATGGATTGCGGCTGATCCTGACCTACATTCAATAACCAATTACGCCGCACCGTCGAAACAGGAACACATCGCCCGGAAACGGTTAAAATAGAAGGGGAAGCTAAAAGTGAACAGGAAAAGGGCTCGTGACCGTAACCTACTTTCGCCTATATTCGCATACACACCTGCCAATGGGGACGCCGCTCTCGATTTCGGTCGACGCTGGTTTGCCGGAGCCCCAGTCGCTTTACCCTATATACATACACACACCTACAGGTTGTTTTACTTTTACCCGATTTATACAGCTTTTTGCTTCGTTCGAACTGCATTGTAGGTCAACCAATACAACAAATTTTTTTGTACGACTACCAAAGAAGCTTCGAATAGAGGACGTCGATGAAATTGATGTTTACTCAAGAAGGACCATCGTAGGAAAAGCAATCTAATTTAGGCCGGACCGTCTAGTGCGTCAGCGATTCGTCCTTTATTTGTTTACGCGGAAACCGATCAAACGGGACGTGGGAAGTGTTCTCTGTATATCCCCAGAAGACGAGAGTTACCTGGTATACACCGCCCACGCGCCAGCCCGCCCGCTTATTCAACCTTCTTTTCCCGTTTGTGGGTTACTGGGTGGCGAGTTCGATCAAACTTTTCCGTTTAAATGAAAATAAAGGAGGATTTTTCGATAGATTTATGTGGATCCGGTTGCGGTAACTTCGTTGGAAGTTTCGAATTATCGCAGACGTTATATTCTTCTTCGGGTCGATAATTTAAAGTTGGATTTTGCGATACGCGAATTTTATAGGTAGGTGTATTAATGCTGTTCGTATGATGCGAGCTATTGCGTTTTTATGCAAGTGTCGAGGGTTAAAATCCCGGATTAAAGTTTACTTTGATGTTTCGACGCTTCTCCTTCTCGTTGTTACTTGAATTAGAATATTCTAACAATTTCAGTTTTATCCATTCAGCTTACCTATATTCTCGTTTTCTTTGATATTTGAGTCGTTAATTTTATCAATTTCGTTTCAAGGCACAACACGGATACTAAACATACTAAATTATGTATGTATAAAGCTGATGGGTTGTAAAAAAAATGAAATTAATAATAATAAGAGGACAATTAGATTGAGTAGAATAGAAATGTACATTAACTATTTTTGATTGGTAACGCCTAATAATAGAGTCCTCGTGGGATTTCACGATGAACGCCCACCAGTACAAATCCAGAGAGTGTAGCTCTCCGCTTTAATATAGATTTTAATAAAAAAAATGATAACGCAACCGCACTAAAGAAGAAATATATAACCGTATACAGGTAAATAGGTCATACTTGACGTCGACGTCGCGTATCCGTTCGAAAGCGTAGGTGTTTACAAGGACCTACACCGTCGATTCTTAACGCTTTCCTCTCCCATTCCTTTTCGGGTTCGGCCTGTCTCCGTTCGCTTCGACCTTCCGACTTCTCCCTTTCAGGCACCGTCGAACTTTCCGATATCGTTCGGGGATCTTTCGGTTTGAATTTGAATACGCCGCAATCCGGAATGCTTAGCCATGCACGCTCGAAATGTTTATTTAGATGATGGTGGATTCCTGTTTTTTTTCCACCGACGATTTCCATCTCGGATTTTTGGGCGATCGAAAGAGTCTACTGTCAGTATTGTAGGGATTCCTGCATCTAGCATTCTATAACGCAAACGAATCCTTTAGTGAATAAACCATAGTAAGGAGGTCCGACATGCAGGATATGAATGAACAAGCACAATTCCGCGGACGGATTAGAGCAGGATCCGGATGGCCGGGCGAAGCATCACCGCATCGCGCCAACAAGGACTCGGACCAGACCAGACACTGAAGGTTTCGGCGACGCCGGCGCACATCCGCTACTCCCGTATACGAGGACCGGCTCGAACGCGAACGGCGGGTCTCCATCTGTGATGGCCCGGTCGATCAACAGGTAGCGCTCGATTTTTAGGATCTTCCAGGAACTTCTCGTTCCGGAACTCGCTTCCTTGCAGATTGCTGTTTAAGGCCTCTTATATTGGTTATGTAAGGCGTTAGAAGTAGGAAGAAGATTGCTGAAGATGAGTGCAGAAATAGAGAGTAGAGTGTAGAGTAGGTGATGGGAGAAAAGAAAAAAAGTGCTAGGTATTGGATAATTCGATTTTATCTTTATAATATACAGTAGAGTCTTATAGTTTCTGCATTCATCCATCTTCCTTCGAGGTGATGGAAGAAAAGAAAAAAAAATTGGTAAGTATCAATATGTCTTGTTAAGTATTAGATTATTGGATATCTTCTTGAAGAAATCATCAATATTTCTTCGAAGTATTTAGTATTTTCTTATTCCTAATTTCCCCAATCATCCATCATCCTTCAAAATATGTAGATATCAATTTCCTACTCTTAGTTACTCCAATCATCAGTTAGTTTCCTTCATATAGTAGCTTCATTGTGGTCGTTTGGATCCGGTTGTAGAGATGTTTAGAGCCTCCCTTTGTATCTGTTGCGTTATCCAGTAGGAGCGTTACCTCGGGGAGAATCCGAAAAGCGATGAAAGTCCGTGTTGCGCCGCCGGTTCTCCCGATTCCTCTCTCCTCTCTCTGGCCGTGCGGCCGCCGCGCCGCAACAGGTAGTAGACTCTCCTCGGCCATCTCGGCTGCTCGGCTGCTGGCTTGGTCGCTTCTTCCTGGTGCTCTGCGTGCATCGTCGCTCGTCGGTTGGGCCTTTCGTCCGCGCTCTTCCGGACTATTTTTGTTGTTTCGGCGTCGCGTCCGCCGCCGGGGAAGCGTATACGCTTGTTTTGGTCGCCGTGCGAGGTTTCGCGTGTATTGTGCATGCTCGTGCCGTCGCCGTCGTTGATGCGGCGTCTTTGGGGCATCCGTCGTGCACTGTCGTTCTGCAGGTGAGGTGATTTTGTATGCCCAGCTCGTTGCGTTTCTGTTCCGTTCGGTATATTGATGGATTCGTTATACTTTGGATTTCATTCGATCGGATGCGATTTCGTCTGGGTGAAATGGGCACGTACGCACGGTATTTGCATGGAAATCGAGCGTGAAACTGCATAGGATTCGAAATAACGACTCTTTCGAAATCGTGAAATATTTGTGTTGAATTTTCCATTTTTATTCGAAGCTGTCAGGTGAATAGTTTCGAATAAATGAAGCTTGGAATCACTACGATTTTCATATTCTTGATGATTAGTATATTTTACTATATTTTAGAAAGATATTTACGATTTTTTGAGAGGCTCTTTAGAAGAGGATTTTCAACGATTTTAATAATTTATCACAAGAGTTTTTTTGCCAGGATTTAAACAGGGTCTTAAAAGCTTTTATAAGAGTTTTAATGTGCTTTTAATAGCTTTTTATGTTGCGATTTTAACCACAAAAACTGGTAATAACTGATCAATACAAATATATCATACGCAATATTTTTTGTATGTTGAAATTGAACTAATTTATTTTGTAATGTCAATGGTTAGGAGAGGAATAAAAAATGCTCGGAATGCGCACAAAGGGATCCCTAAATATACCTACTTCTAAAAAAACGGCGCCTTTTGAAAATTTCAAGTATCCGTAGGTGGATTTCGTCAAAGAGCTCAAAGGTAGGAATTTTTTTTTAAAGAAATCGTAGCAAATAAACCGCCATCGGAGCGTTGGAAGAAATGGGAATATTAATTGAGTGAACGATTTAAATTTTCTTTATAATTCGGTGTTTTCAGTTTTTCCCTGCAGCGGAAGCAATTAGCGAGGAAGGTGTATTATGGCTTTCTTTTTTACTTCTCTTTGTACAAAATGAAGTTACCTACTTATTAAAGATGGAACACAAAAATAATCCTAGGTTCATAAGTCTTCACAAAGTCAGCTTAAAACTTGGAGACTAAAGTTTTCCCTATAAATTGACATGAAAATGAAGGTTCTTTGGTGAATGGTTTCGGAATTATGAATAATAAAATCTATAAACATTTGGGATATTAAAATACCACGAAAATTGGCTCAATTGGGAAATTAAATTTGGAAATTTGTTTCAAGAACTATAATTTTTACACAGTATCACAACAATCAATCTAATTAGGTAGGTACATTCAGAACGAACCCTAAACATTTTCTCATATAGCATAACTAACGAAAATTTGTTCAGAGAAACCAACTCCATACCAGTTTAAACATGCAACCTAATCTCTTAGGTTTTAATAAAGGCACTGCTGCATGCAAAACATAAAATATTCCTAATTCGTTCTTTTATGAGTGCTTAATGAAAACCGGAGATTATACTTTGAGTATAAGTTAAACTAATTTATTTGCCGCACATGGAAATTTTAAAACTAACGTGTTTTTATACTTTTAATAACAGTTTGGTTTAATAATCCAGCAATTTTTCAAAACGTAGTGAAAAAATATCTCCTTTTTATTGATATTGAAAATATAAAAATAAATAGAGGCCCTTTTCAGAATATTCGAGGGAATTTATACGACACAAAAGGTTTATCAAATAAAGTCGGTTATTCGATATCGCAAAAATCATCTGTTATGGGAAAATTCGAAGAAAACTAAGCAATATTTCAGCACGGATTGGATTAACAAGGGCATGATTGTACGTAGGAAATCCCACCTAAACGTTTTACACTCGCTTTCGTTTCTAATTTTAATCAAAACTTTTCGGTCGCGCCGTAAAATCCGCCATTTCTCGCGAATATTTCCCGCCCCTGCGAATAAAACGAAACAAAATCGAGGCATAAATACGGCTCAAACGCCTTTTACCCCCTTTCAATTTCGGCGCTCGAAGAAGTCTTAAGAGCCTGTTGATTGAAACCTATTTCTCCCATTGTATTCAATCGGTGAGTCAAATCAGCCTTCAAAGGCGATTGTCTAAAGTTTTGACTGGATTACAAAAGAACAACTAATTAAGCGAAAAACATAATGTACTCGTCCGAAGGGAACATTTTAAGCGACGAAAAAGGACTAAAATATAATAAAATAGCTTCATTCAAGCGTATAATACGGACTGATTAGAAGACTGGAAAAATACTAAATCGCTAAAATAAATAAAAAACAATAAAACGCTTCGGATTCACGCAAAATCGCAAATAAACAACGGCCGGAGCTTCGAAAATGAAAATAAAAAAAGAATCATTTATTAATCCCCATATTGGTTTTCTGTGCACACAAATTGGAATTTCTCTCGACTCTTCGCAATGCGAGTTTAATATATTTTCTGAGTCGGAACTTCGAACATAAACCAAACAATTTCGAAATGAGTATAACGGACTGCGGATAGAGGGTGGTCCCTACGCAGGGCGGCGATAGTCCTTCGGAAATGGAAATTAATTTTAGATTGCACCGCCGAGCGCCGGAATCGCAATGGACGGAAACGCCGCGGAAAATTCACGGAGACTATAAGCAGGAACATCCGAACGTAAATTCAATTACTCCACCTTAATTTCATTTCCGTCTAATAACTTTTTCGCTGGCTTATTGAAAAATAAATAATGCCTGATGATGGTGCTTGGAGGTTGCGCGGAATTAAAAAATTAAATTGGATTTTATTGGGATTTCCAATCGGTTTCCACCCTGTAGGAAGGCTTCTGCTCGCCCTCGCGCTTAGTTATCGATTTCATCGATGATGGTTGGATACATTCAGATACCCCGAATTCTTCCGAATACTTTGTTAAATTTAATAAACGACGGATTTGAATAATTGCGCCTTAATGGAAATCGGCGAGAATTACGGGTGGTTTTCGTATTGTAAATAATCGATGGAATTTTCCCCCAACCTTCCAGCCAATTTTCCCAAATTTACATAAAGAATCCGCTGTAGAAAGACGTTTTTACTTCGTGCCGTACATTTCGTTATTGATTTATTTATTCGGGATAATTTAAAATTCTAATTTTTTAACGTTTATTTGGTGGAATTTAGAACAATTTATCGAGAAAATAAATTAATAAAATAAATTACGGTAGGTTTAAACAAATGTTCTACCAATAAAGGATGGTTGAGATGGAATGCGGGGAAACGTTCAAAGAAATTTCCCCTTTCGCTGAATCCACAATGGTCCTTCGTTGAATATCGTTGCTCCTGGAAATACACGAAAATGTAAATGTAAACATTTTGTTTCTCGCCCTTATTAGGGAAAATTTGTAAACCGGCATTTTTCCCTCAAGTCGTAAAATAGTGCAAACTCCGCCTGTGGGAAGATGAAAAGAAGTGGAGGAGAAGAGGCAAGAAGAAAATTACAGCAAGCTTTCAAATTTGTTTTTCGGGGATTTTTTGATATCTCCCATTTTTTACTAAAACATCACTTTATTCGTCCTCTAAATTGCATTTTCAGATTCAATTTTGTACGAATATCATCACAAACTGCAAAAATGTTCAATTGATGTTACGCTCAATGGATTTTTATAAAATAGTTTAATCAATCAAATTTTCATTGTGCCGTTAAATTTTAAGTCAATCAATTTGAATGCATCAGCGCAATTTAATTTTCAGCAAAATTATTCAATTCAACCATTTCATGGTATTAAATTCGAGTTTCGTCATCGGAACGTCTCCGATTCCGGCAATTAAATTCCTATTAAATTCAGCTCCAATTTTTTTTCGTTTTGCAGCCATTACGAATGCATTTATAAATACACATTCAATTCAAAAGCCTGCCATTTACGAACGAAACTATACGCTTTTCGAAAGCGGAGAATTGCGCCCTCGCGATGCACTTTCGAAACAATACCGAGCAGACTATTCAATTTCATAGTGAAATTTTCAGATAAAGTGTCCGTGTCATCGTGGAAGAAACGCATTCGATTGTATTCCCACTAAAACTCCCCATCGATGAATGGGAAATCCATATTTTTAGCTGCATTTTTTTTCTAAAAGCAGGTAGATTAAATTTCTCCTCGAATATCTATACAGCTTGTGAAAAATATTGGAAACCCGCAGAATATATTGATCGCCTTATTCTGTAATTCTAATGAACGAAAGTTGGGAAAAGTTGGGAAAAAAAGCTATCGGGTTACTTACTGGTTTAGAATAATTACAGCGACCCCTCCGTCGGGTCTCTTGAGCGCCACGATTTCCAAATCTGGATCGCACCGGCTCGAGTAAATCCTCACCGAGTCCCTGGGCAGGAACTTCGAAAAGTGCCCTATGGCGTAGTAGGAGGGCTGCTTGAAAAATTCCTGACCGCTGGCGTTAACAGTAATGGAAGATTCCACCGAGTTATTGATATAAGTCGGTCCCCCGTTCAGGTCTAACGCCATGTTCCATTCCATCCAGCCCACCACCCAATTGTTCAGGTTCTATCGGAAAATGCATACGTAATCCTTCGTTATACGCGCATGTAAATTAGCTTGTTTACCTCTATGATGTTATTTGCATATTTTTCCGCGTTTTGCCAATTTCCCAGCGACGCTCGGTTATTTTGGGCGACTGAAAAATTCGAAAATATTGGGTGTTAATAAACATATAAACTTGTAATTTTGCACCTAGATTTTGAATATTGAGGATACATTTCCTTCTACGTCTACACTTACTGCAATTAATATTTATTAACTTACAATTGCATGCTTCGGTGTAGAGCATAAATTTATCGGGGTATTCGCGATGGGTCTCTTCCAAGTTGAAAGCGTTGTATTTGGTGTCGAAATACCAGTGGATAGCGGCTCCGTCGATGTACTCCAGATTGATTTTATCCGAGAAAAGCTGAAAGGGTGCAAATATCAAAGGTTGGGCCTTGCAGTGTAATTTACGGGACTTACCGTCGAAAGGGAGTGGGTGAGAAGGGGCCTGTTGTCGTCGTTCGCCAATATTTTTATGTCTGAATAGGAGGAATTCCTGATCGTCGGGCCGAAATGCCAACGAAGCCAATGTTTCTGTAATGATGTATATAGCAATAATTAAAGTTTCAAATTAGAGGAAAAGAGTCAAGTAGAAATTTTGAAAGGTTTTGGATTACGTAAACTCGTTTAAATTCTTCTTAAAACTAATGAGAAATCTATAAAAATTGCTGAATCAAAAGTTTTTACAAAATCTAGTGAGATTTCCCAAAACGTGGCAAAGTTGCAAATCGTTTTTCCTCAACTATTAACTAATTCAGCACACGTTTTGTACATGCTCTTACTACGCATTCTTAACACGTAACAATTTTAATTGAAAATTTTCAATTCGCCCTCAATTTAACCCGAAAGTGCGGATCCCAGTAGCAACCAAAGCCTAAGTAGTTTAAATAGCAAGTTTAAGCAAACAGAACCAAGCTAGAAAATAAACTAAGCGGTTTTACCATTTCCTCGGGCGTCCAAAGAATCCCGGGTATATCTCGGAGCGTCAGGGCGAAATATATCTCGTTTCCCGTCGTGATGCCCCAGAAAGAAACGTTCTGATTCCGATAGGCGTCTAAAAATTTCACGTAATAATTGGCCCAAGGCCTGTACATTTCTTTCCGCAAGTAACCGAATACGCCGTTGTAGTCTCGGTTTTCCTTCATCCACTTCGGGGAAGTCCAGCAGGAGCCCAATAGCAGGAGATTATCGCTCAATTTTTGCGCCTCTTTTATTAATGGAATCTGGAAAGCGCTTTGATTCAGATATCAATTACACAAGATTAGCAAACATTCTATTAAAGCACGACTGTATTAAACAGTACAGTAAAAAATTGGATATTTATAGAGTACGATATATCTATAAATAGGCGGATTTTAATTAAGCTTTAACAAATAGAGAATAGCTCACGCAATATGGCTATACTTCATAGTTTTAAGCTCGTATAGTTAAACAAAGCTAAAAAGCTTTCCTTCAGTTCCGCGAAATCGCCATCGTTCTTCATTATTCGTATCGATTAAATGGCTGCAGCTTTATAGCTCGATAGAATTTTTAATATTATGCGAATAGCCCAGTAAAAAAAACATCATAATAAATTCAACATTATTAATTAACTAATTTCCCTGATTAATGCGATAAAATTATTAAGAAACGCCCTGTGTAAGTGCAAAACAAACCTTGTATAAAAAGTCCTCTTCAGCCAGTTTGAATCCTGTTAAAAGAGGATCCTCATTGTAGTCGTTATCATCCAAGGTGTCGAGGTACGTGTAACCTCTGGTTGAAAAATCTGTTCCTCCAATTGGGACTCTTCCTAAATTGTACTCCAAACCCTCATCGGAAAAGTAGGACCTTCAACGTTTAAAAGGTAACGCGATAATTCGAAGCGTTGAGCTACACTTACCGCAGTAATTCGTTTTGGAGATTTTCATTCAAACTTTTGATGTTGATGCCGGTGGAGTCGCTGAATGCTCCACCCCAGCCTAGGATGCTTTGGTATTTTACGCTTTGATCTATAGTGATAGTGATGGATTTGTTATTGTTCTGTCCATCTTTGGAAGAATCTTTGCACTCGTCGTTTTTAACATAGTGTGGATTAATTGGACGAAAATCGTTTTTCGTTGAGTTGAATCTTTGACCGGCTTTATCGGAGGTGTAAATTATGTATGAAGATGGATCTGTCTTTTCGACTTTTGGTATTTTATCGCAATGCTGGTCATTGCATACACAAACCACGCTTCCTTCACCGAAGTCTTTAGCAAGACAATCGCTTGTTAATACTGATGCAAATATATCTGGAAATTACAGATAAGTAAAAATAAATATAATTATTATTATTGATATATCTCTTTAATGTTTATAATTTTATTATCATAACATTTATATATCGCGTATCGATGATTATTAACAATTATTGCTTAAGAAATGTCTCAATTTTTAATTTATCGACCTTGGCAGTAGAGAAATTATTTGATAATGTTTCATTGCGAATTACTCTAGTTCAAACAAATAATTTGAATTCGTGCATTATGTTGGGAAATTCCTATGATATGATTGCATCAAGGAAAAACCCAGAAATAATTTTTACATAAATAGTAAAATAAAATATAAAATAATTATTTTGTAGAGCAACTATGTACTTATTACTAAATCACCTGTATCGTACCTACACATATACAGTGTGGAAGAAAGTGAGAGAAAAATTCGGTAAAATTTTGTATTGTTCCCTTTTATTTTCTCTTTAAATAGTTTTAAATGTCTATACCGAATTTTTTTACTTCCCTACATTTTCACAGTTAAATACTACATTTAAAAGCTCTATACTTACTTAGTAATAAAATAACAATTAACCACTTCATATTTTAATTTGTTCTAATAATTTACGCAAACCTTCGATGCCCGCTGTCTAATGCGATTTTAATATAACTTCGAAAAACCAGTGTATTTATATAATAATTTTTAATTATCAGGGTTATGTTTGCAACAACATTTAATATTATTTAATAAAAGTACGCACTTGTGATAAGATGTTACGTTCCAGACACATGTGTAAAATAATAAGAATAACTTCCGGTAAATTTAATAATACTAATATTTTTCATTTTTTTATAGAAAATTATTCTATATCCAATCCTATTCATCTAGGATACTTCATAAAGGAACATCTAAATGTCTAAAGAGCAAAATAAATTGAAAAGTAGTAAAGGGGATCAAACTCTATAGGTAATTCAATTTTATTCACCAATAAATAATTGTACTAATCGAACGAGGGCTCATATCTAATTCAATTTCTCCTCTTATTGAATCCACTATAGATCTTCTCTGGATCTTGTTGCTTCTGCAATGTGCAAAAAATGTGACTATAAATATTTCTGTTAAATATTTCGTTCGTTTAACTCACGTATTCAATACCACAACAACTATTCCTCCATCTGGTCTTTTAAAAGCAACAACTGGCACCTCACTGCCGCATTGTGTGGAATAGATCCTCACAGAATCAGGCGGAACGAATTTGCTAAAATGTCCTAAAACGTAGTACATGGGCTGTTTGTAAAATACGTTATTCGCAGAGTCGACGATAATCGGGGCATCGACGAAATTTTTGTAGACATTCGGACCTCCTTGCATATCCAAAGCGAGGTTCCAGTCTATCCAACCTGTTACCCAGTGATTCATATCCTTTAAAATCACAAATGTTTAAATATTATGAATCTTCAATGCCACGTGTTTACCTCAATTATGTTTCTCGCGTAATCTTCGCCTCGTTGCCAGCAACCCAATCTTACAGTATTGTCTATGTACCCTAAAAAAATTTAACCCTTTCGTACTAAAGGAAACGAAGTATAAGAATGATTTTAAGAAGTTACCAGTGCACGATTCTGTATATAGAATAAATTTATCCGGGTATTTGTTATGAACGTCATCCAATATGTAAGAATTGGCTTCACTATCGTAATACCAGTGCACCGCTATGCCATCGACATATTTTAAAGTTTCTTCGTCTGGAAGAATCTAATAAATACATGTTTAAAACATTAAATAAAGTACCTCATTACTAATAAAAATGATATATAGGAAATATACAGGAAATATATAGGAAACATGTTCTTAGAATCACATACCAGATATTTAGAATAAACTTACAAATTGTATGCTATGGGGCAGCAAAGCCCTGAAATCGTCGAATGCCAATAGGCGAATATCCGAAAATGTGGAATTCCTTAAGGTTGGTCCGAAATACGAACGAGTAAATTCATTCTGAAAACTATGGTATTTAAGGCATATTATGTGAGTTAACTAAAGAACAAATGTTCGTACTAATTCGTGAGGTGAATATAGCGTTCCAGGAGCTAACTTTACACCCTGGGCCATGGCGAAAATGGGTTCATTCCCTGTCGATATCCCCCAAAAAGTAATGTTATGCTGTTTATAAGCCTCCAAAAATTTCACGAGATAATTGGCCAACGATTGGTAATACTTTTTCTCTGGGTATCCCATCATTCCCATGTAGTCTTTGTTTTCTTTCATCCACACTGGAATAGACCATGTGGCGGAGACAAGATTTAAAGTTTTTGCTAATTTTTTAGCTTCGTTTATTATTGGAATCTACGAATCATACGATAGTAAATTTTTCTTTAACTATCAACAAATACTTACTTTATATTTGTAGTCTTCTTCAGCTAAAGAAAATCTGGTTAACAGAGGATCATCGCATACCGAATTATCTTCAGTTTCGTCATAGGTATATTTTCTCGTGGAGAAATCAGCGCCCCCAATCGGTACTCTGCCTAACTTGTACTCCAGCCCGTCTTCGGAAAAATAAGCCCTGGAAATATATACGTTTCTCATCACCACAGTCCAGCAACAAATATCAATTTACCTCATTAAGTCGTTTTGCAATTTCTGGTTCAGGGATCTGATGTTAATTCCCGCGGCGTCCGTGAAACTTCCACCCCATCCCAAAACTTTCTGGTACTCTTTCGCTGAATTTATAATTATCCTGCGCGCTTTCACCTCATCTGCGCCTGCTCCGGCCGGATTATAGACTTTGCCGCAAGTCGCCGCGACTTCTTTTTCGCAAACATCCTCCATCAACGAGAAGCTGGAATCACCGAACGATTTCGTCTGGAAAATTACACACAGGCGTACTAATTGCGGCAAACTATTTGATTCTTTTTTTACCTGTTTATGGAATCTCAGCCCGCTTTTGCTCGTTGTGTATACGACGAACGCGGAAGAATTTACTTTTTTTATGGGCGGTAAAGTGTCGCAATGGTTGTCGTTGCAAATACAAACTGTTGAGCCCTTTCCGAAGTTTTTGTGGTAACATTCGTTTTCGAGATATTGTGGTTTTGGTTTGAAAATTATTATAGCTATTATTCCGCTAATTAAGACAACTAAAATACGGATTTTTACTTGCTTACCTATTGCTTACTTACTGAATTTGCTTACCTACTGAAACACCTATAAGTAAAATTATAGAGCTTCTTCGCATTTTGCTAGAAAAAGCGCTCTTTGTTAAGATTCGTTTAAATTTACAGTGAAGTAAATGTTATCAGATTTATGCTTAAATTCACTTTTGATAAATGAATTAATTGTGTTGATTCAGACATGTTTATAGGGTATTTTTTTACCTTGTTAGGTAATAACTATATTAATTATTATCAAACAATAATTATATTCGTAATTATTTTTTATTAAGTACACGTGTACTTACGTTTACATAAACAAATCATTAACTTTTTTTAACTATTATACCTAAAGAGTGCATTTTATTTTATATCGCAGGCTTATTGCAATATAATTTCCTTGTTCATTACAGTTTTTTGAAAAATTTTCTAGTTAAATTAACTCAAGGATATCTTTAATGCCACGCAACTATCAAGTGCTGAGATATTTTTGTAGATAAAATTAATCAAACAGGAACTATACAATGCCATTTTCCACGCACAAAAAATCGTCCAGAAGACGCCCTATCATTTGGAAAATCTGCCGAGCCGCTCGATCGACCCGGCTGAAGGCGCCCCGAACAAAAATGAAGACCCCCGTCTTTCTACCCTAATTACATAATTGGAAAACAGCAAATGCCGTCGGTGCTCTCACTACAAACACGGTAACAAAGTCACCGCCAGGCGACCGCAGGAAGGCAGGCGTTGTCACTTTGAGGCAGGCATTCGCAGCTTAGACGAAACCTCTTCCCTTTTCCTAGTTAATTTCACCTCGGCGACGACGGCTTGTCATAATAAATTAGGTATAAATATGTTATAAATACCTATACTGTTTGCATAAAGACATGTCTAATTTTTACAGTATTAATAGTCTAGTATGAGTATGTAAATCTAGTCTTAATGCATACGGCAAATATTATTGAGTGTAAAGTTTTACTAGTATCACGAGGACATTGATAAGAAACTTTCCTTATAATAGTTGTTTTATATTGTTGAATTTACTAATATTGCGATTACGATATGTATGATTTAGATTATATGTAGTGTATTTAATTCAAGAGTTAAAATAATATACCTATATGAAAAAAGAAGATGTGAATAAATTCTGTAATCAGTTCCACGCAAACTTAAATGCATCTCGTTTATATTATAATGCATCTATCCTATCTATCCGAAGTTTCGTTTATCCCTTCATCTCGCGTCTCGAGTGCTGTTTCTTCCAAGAAATTGTTAAGTAATCCTTTAACAACGCACCTACACGCCTACACTTCTGTACAAAAGGAAAATTTAATCAGGCGTATCTGTAACTATACCGGGATGTGTATCTACACTGTACCAACTTTATCCTTTATCGTCTGTTTTAAGTCGTTAAATTCGCGTGCGTCGGAATGATGGCATAAAAGCGGCAGGATTCGGTCGGAGTCTACGCAAAGTTTACCTGAAGTAAACAGATTTTTAATGCTCCCGAATACGGTTCCGTATGTTTCACCAAATTTCGAGCATGTACAGGCGGGTCGTTGAATCCTGTAGTTGTTTTAGTAAACCAAGCGATAAATTTGGTATGGAAATTAGGCACCAGATCATCTCTCATCTCGCGTAGCTAATATTGTGGTATTTATTTGAATTAATGTAGAAACTTTTGCTGGATTTTTGCATATGGTTTCGATAGAACGTTGTTTATTTTTACGAACGATGAGAATAATTTATTTCACGGACGGAAATCTACGCTATTCTTCCATTCCCTAAAAATGGCTTGCAATGCGCAATGTCTATACATGTATTTCAACAAAAGCACCGTTGTGCTTACTACCATACGAAAAACCCTTTTGTATATAAAGACAGCATAAGGATCTCCAATATAAATCCCGACTCGAAATGAAATTGAATAACCTAGAAACATATTAGGACTTTGTCTGAGGCCTGGTAGCCTGTTGAATAGAATGTCATTATTGCCTTCTCTTTCTCGCTGTCGCCGTTTCGCGGCCTTTCTCCTTTCCTCTCCGCCGGCGGTAACATGTTGTAGGCGGCGCGTTCGGTTTGGGGGCAGCGGGACGCCGGGTAGGCGGTTGAAGTTGCTGGCAGGGCCGCCGCCGACGCCGCCGCCGCCGCCGTTTTTACCAAGCCACCGGGGAAAACCACAATATAATTGCAGCTGTTTGGTGCTTAAAAAGCGTCGCGGATTTGTTTCAATGTTTGCACGAGTTGTGATAAAAAATCGCTATCTTGTAATAATATTTTAGCGTCTAGAAAACTAATCTTATTATAGCGAGCATTAAATTAATGGAACGGAAAATTGCGGCTACGGTGGTTGGTGTATTGTGCGGGAAATTCGAGGAAAATCGCTCGGGAGGCTGCGGAGAGACGAGATGATGAAAGAGAAGAAAAAACGCTCGAAGGTAAAGAATCTCGCTTTCCGCCGAAAACTTAATTTACGTCGAAAAGGAGAAAATCATCTGACGTGTTTTAGCGAGGAAAAATACTTTATTGTTTTTCGAACGAGCGAGTTGAAACGTAAATTCATATGAACGTGGAATAACGTCTAAGGAAAGCAGCCTCTGCGTCTTTTTCGGTCGAATTTTTTCGATCCGCTCCTTTGTAGATACGGTTTTTTTCGCAGCAAAATAGACATTTTAAACAATGACGAGAAAACTTTGAAATAACAAAGAAAATTTCTCCAACGGCTACACTTTTCAAGATGCTCGCTTTTGAAGCTCGCTTTATTCTCGGATCACCAATACCAATAAGATCCGCTAAAGTTAGAAAAAATACTCATTAAATTACGGTAGATTGAACAGTCTTTTATACGAAAAAATTTCCAAATCAATTAACGTCTCCAGTGAAATATTACACCGACCTAATAAGCGAAAACGAATTCGTTCGTTCGAAAAAATCACTATCTCCCTATAACTCTCCTAAACGATAATATTCCATCGAAATGAACGCAATTAACTTTTAATTAAACAGCTAATTAATTAAAAACTCGAATTTTCAACTCGTTACACGGATTGCTGCTTCAATTTAATTAGTACAACATCTCAATTGCGCAATCTACGGTAATTGTCACATTACTTCTTTCTACTTCGCACCTTTCCTTTAACATTCAGTTGATAAGACATTAGCGAAACATTATAAGGATTAGTATCAGGGGTTCTTTACCATCTATGTGTTATCCTGCTGGATCTTATCGAAGGATTCATATTAGGTGTTTATGATTAATTTGCAAAAATTGTACTATAAAAAACTATATCGAAGTAGGTACTTACTTACGCTTTATTTAATCTTGAATACCTATCTAAAATTAAGTTGGGTAATATAACTTAATAATGTACAGAAAGCATAATTAAAGGTTATGTCTCAAGTCCATTATCTCATGTATTTAATTGATGTACGAGCTTGCAGCCATAATTTTCAATTAAGTCCTTAATAAATTGTATTTACGGGAGTGTACCGCCTCGACTAAAGGAACTTCATCATCTGACATTGAACGGTTTTCCAAATAGGTGTCATTTACATTTTGTATCCTCGAAAGCGTCTGTAAACGTTACCAAGGTTTCTTGTATAATTTGATTCACTCTGAGCTAAATCTAGTTTCATTATACGTTGGGCGAGGAGCCCGAGCGGCAGCGCTCCGTGTATATTTAGCGTACGCCTAACCGCCCTAATCCCGAGGATAGGTATCCGGAGTATTTAGAAATTGAACTCGCTATACCGTGTAATTTACGTCTTAATATAGTAGGGAATTAACCGAAATTAGGCAATTTCGACGGCAAAAAAATTGTACTACATTCTATTTAATTTGCACTGTAAGCTAACCGAGATTTTCCCGGTTTGTTTCAGATGACCAAGAATCGGGATAACCAGGCGCTGATTCACCCCAACAACCGTCGCCGACGATGATCGTATAATGCACGCTTATTATCATTAAAAAAAAAACTTATTATGAGGCAATAGACTTTTCGGTAGCACGCATGATCAAGCATTTAACGCCAGCTACGGCCATGTTTTCGAAATTCAAGAGCGGCGGGGCCACGCAATGCTCGACGGAGACCAATCCCATCGGGCAGTTTTTCGAAATCGGCAAGCAAGTGGCCAGCGCCGGACCTGAACTCGTCTGGAAAATACACGACGCTTATAGGAAGAGCGACGGAAAGGTAACTTAATACTCCTCTAAATACCTATTTCATTTTAAATTCAATCTCGTAACGAGAGCAATGATCAATTACTCTATGGGACATTTCTTTTAAATCTGTTAGGCACTTCAAAATTATTGGAATTTAAATGATTCTGGACTGTTCTAAATTAATCTACATAGTTCCAAATCGTTTTGGACCGTTCCAAATCATTTTAGTCAGTTCTAAATGGTTCTACAATTCTGATTCGTCCTGATGAAGCAATCTAAATGATTCTGGACAATTCTAAATTGATCTAGACAGTTCTAAATGGTTCTATACAAAATAATAATGTATAATTGAATCAGTAATTCAATACAATATGTAATAAATTATCTATATGTTAGAAGAATTGAATCACATAGTGTGATCTATACCGGGGGAGAACTGTTTATGGAACTAACCACAAATTGTATATTTACGGCAAATATATAAACTCTACTAATGTACGTACGTAAAACTCGTCGGGAATTTCGTATATTATTCATGTTCTATCGAATTCCAATTAAACTGTCCCCATCAATTTTGATTGATATCTCTCGAACGGAGGGAGAGTTTTCAACAAGAAATTGGATTTTCTAAAGAGAAAATCGAAGCGACTAGTGTAAATAAGCGGTCGATTTTTAATTTATCGACAAGTTGTCGTATTACAAGACATTAATGATTACACAGCGTATATGTTACTCGTGAAGTATCGTGGAAGTAAATTTTCGTACCGAACAATTCAATTCTCCTTGTACTTATCGATCATGTTGCACTGCAAGGGGATGAACGCGAAATTTAAATGATCAGAATCGATGGCGCATAATCGGTTCCGAACCGCACCGTCCGTTTTGTCTTATCTGCTCGTTTTTTCGCGCGACATAACGAGCAAAATCGTTCTCTCGCGTTTCTCTTTAATTTTCATTCTGTTTTCGAATGCGGCCTAATTAAATTTAATGGCGGTTCGTTTTTGTTTTCGCAACATCCTCCCGTTTCCGAAGTAATGAACTGCAATTTAATTACGCGCGATGCGTCTGAGTAAGTCGATCCGAACGAATCGCCGTCGAAGGAATGCTCGCGAACTTAACTGAAAACCCCGCTTTTTTTCGAAGTTATTATTGGGAGAAAATCGGGAATCGGCAATTAAAAGTTGCTCGATTATTCCGTCTGCACGTTACATTAGCCGTTTGCCATTTCCGTTGAATTAATTGCTCATTAAAAGTTCCATCAATGTTCGCTCCTTTGTTCGAATAACATCGTTCTGCGGTTTGTGCTGTCGCCGGATATCAAATGAAATAAACTGATTGTCGATATAACTAACGTGCACTCGATAACTGTAAACCATACGGATAATTAATACATAACAACGCGATGCTGTGTTCGAGTATCTGCTGTGGAAAAAGCGGTTATTTAGGCACTTGTCACGTTATCGTAACAACATTTTCCTAAATATAGGAATTTCCCCGTTTGATATATTTCCAGCGCTCGCGCTTCGATCTTTCGCTTTCTATTCCGGGCGGAGAACGGGAATGTCAGGCAACATGAATAAACAGCTCTATTGGCATTTTCCCTCTTTCCATTACCCGGAATCTCCCGCGTAGACACTTATAAAAATTTATAATGCGGATTTCACCGGTCGTATCTTTATCGCGTTCGCAGCTCCGGAATATTGATAAATCTGATGGGCGGAATTTTCTGCTAATTTAACGATTCGAGCCGACTATCGAATTTGCGGCGAGCAAGTTCTTGGATGGAGCGGAAGAGCAAACAACAAACAGCCCCCTGCTACGAGATACTCTAATTTCCCTTCGAGCGCCGATTTTATCCGAGTTTATGCAGTGTTAAGGAAGCAATCGTTAAGGGAGATAGTCAATAAAAAGTTTTTATAACGCTATTTTGGTAAAATTGGTCGAAAATAACGCCGGAATCTTCGGCTGAATGCGATCGTTACGGAAAGTTTTCCTATATACAAAAAGAAATAAAGCCAAACTCGACGAAACAGCAACTCGATTTCGGAGAGTATCTAATTATTCTGTTTTCGTAATATTTTAATACCAAAAAGGAAGTTTCTTCTTTCTTTTTTCGGTTTCATATCGCACAGTTCCCGTTGTCCCGGAAAAGAATAAGAAGTCGAAACAATGACGTTTATGAACTCGAAATACAAAGAATAATTAACCGTTTTATACGAAGCATTCAAAATTCTCCGTGGCCCGAGTAAATTCCCAGAAACATTAAAAATAACTCGAACAATCGGCGTAAATATGCCGAAAGGCACCACCATTTCGGAGGCGATGAAAAGGTGGGAGGAAAAACACCCCGGCGAGAAAATCACCCAAGCAGAGGAAGTGGGCTTCCAATTTCAATGGCCTCCCATCGAAATAATGGATAACACTCTCGGAACTCTAACGAATTGTATAAAACTCAGCCTTTCCACCAATATGATCCAAAATATATCAGGTTGAAAGAACTTTTTATGGACGATTCAAAACTTACCCTAATATACAGTCACTAAATTTACACGGTTTTATCGCTGAGCTGCTTGAATCATAAGGTCACTTTTAGGTTTGAATGGATTGAAAACTTTGAAAATTCTCTCTCTAGCGCGAAACCAGATCAAATCGTTGGCCGGTCTGGAATGCCTCTCGGATACTCTGGAACAATTATGGATATCCTACAATTTCATAGAAAAGACCAAAGGGATCGGCAGTTTAAAAAAACTCAAGGTTTTGTACATAGGCTATAACAAAATCAAAGACTGGAACGAAATTCATAACATACAGGAATGCCAGTACTTGGAGGATCTCCTGTTCATAGGCAATCCTTTGCAGGAAAACATGGAGATGGGGATGTACAAAATGGAAATTAGGAAATATTTCCCCACGCTAAAGATATTGGACGATCATCCTTTACCGGTTGATGCTAAAAATTAACAAAAATATAGAAATTTATGAAAAATCTTTTTAATAGTTTATTTGGTATATTTGGGAAAGGATAATGTTCAGTTATTAGAACTTGAATATTTTATATCTTCAAAGAATAAATACTTTTTCAATAAAAATAAGAGTTCTGGAACTTTCAAGGAGTTTCAAGAAACCCAATTCGATCTGTTTCGAATAAAATTAACTCCACTTTTATTGATTAAATTAGCAACGCTATAGTCTACTTAATAATGAACTCTACCATGTTATTATAAACATCCTTCTCGACATTATCCCGGATTGCGTTCCAGGAATGTTCGGTGTTCATATTCGAGAAGCGCTGCGCCGAGAAGCTGCACAAGCCCAAGCGGAAGGAGACCGTGACGGAGATCCTGCGGGGCAGCGTCAGGCAGCTGGAGCGCTACAGGCACCCGAAGATCCTGCACGTCGTGCACGCCATCGAGGAGTGCCAGGACACCCTGGCCTTCGCCACCGAGCCGGTGTACGCCAGCCTGGCCAACATCCTGGCCTATCACGAGAGCACCGTCAATCACGCCGGCATCCAATCGGCGCACCACCACCATCAGCAGCACCAAGCCCAACAGCGGCCGCCCAACGCGAGGGAGTACAATTTTTTAGATTTGGAATACAAGTACGGGATATTGCAGGTGAGTTATTGGTCGATAACGCGCGCGTTGAGGTCCCGATAACGGCGATTTTACGGGGGTTTTTGATTGCAGATAACCGAGGCCCTATCGTTCCTGCATTATTCAGGCCACATGCTGCATAGGAATGTGTGCCCTGGCAGTATCCTGGTGACGAAACGAGGTCCGTGGAAACTGGCCGGTTTGGAATTCATTGGTAAGCGCTTTTTTACGGAAATTTACAACTTTTTTTACCGCCGTAAGAGTTTAATTTTTCTTCCTTTTATTGGAAGTTACAGGATATAGGAATGCTAACTTAATAATAGAATGACAATTGTACCACCAATTTCCAACAATCGTATTAAACCATAATAATCCCCTTGAAATACCGTGCCCGTTAATTGCAAGAAAAGACGATTAACTACAGGGCTTCAAATTCCACTGAAACTTTCGTCCGTTTCCTCGTTAAAACGAATTACGTGGACCGTTTAAAAGCGGCCTTTTCGATTTATTAAACTCGAACTTGCCTGTTTATTTTGAAAACACTTTGTCTCAATTAAGGAAATTGATGAAAGAGACACTCAGCAGTTTTGCGTAACGTTGTTGCGTTGTTCTTTCAACCCTTTTCGCTCGTTATTTATTACTCACAGGCCGGCGAGATTATGCCTTGCCAGGTACTCAACGGGAACAATATACCTACTTAGAGCGTTTCCGATGCGGATTGGATCTCCGCGTTTCATGGCGGTAAATACATTTTAATTATTATTGGTTTTTTAGAACGGATAAACGACACTGATGGCGTGGAGCCAATCCCGTGCCAACCGTGGACCTCGAGGCTTCCGAAAATGGCTCAACCGAACTTAGATTATACCGGTAAGTTTTTATTATTCTTCAGTGCGATTTGTTGGGGCGAATTTGTGTATAAAATTCGCGCTAATGCGGCTCTCAAGAGCGATTTCGCAAGGTAATCTGTATCACCTGAGGGCATTAAGTTGTCGATATGGATTTCCTGCATAAATGTATGTATAGCGGGTATGTAATAGCGATAAAACAAAAATCTATGAAGCATAACAAACGAGGCTTCGCTTTGTTGCGAAAATCGAATTAAATTTACGCGAGGAACGATTTTCATTGCGAACTTTGCCACTTACAAAACATTAGTTACGTGTAACTTGATTACGTTTACACGAGATTGTTGAATCAAGAATAAATAAAAAGAGCGAAGCGCGGTATTAACTTGTTAACGAAACGAAATGCTTCCACCCGACAGTCGATTTTGCCAAGAAATAATTAATCAATGCACGTACTTTATAACGAATTCATTAGGTATCAACATTACGGCTTTTTCGCAATTAAATTTGCAGTAAATTAAAAAACGATGTAATGAAAATGTATCGAAAGCGCTTTTTTATTTTCGAAGGGATTTCGCGCGGAAAATAAATTTACCACAGGCAAATTCGGCCAGAAATCGTTTACCGGCGACCCAGTTTTTATCTTTTTTAAAATCCAATTAAACCGGAATTTCGATCGCGCCGCACCGAAGAATAATGAAACGCCATTCGCATGTTGCTCGATCAAAACTTCATTCCGGACAATCCGCGCGCGATGTAAACATTACGCCGTGGATAATAATTAAAGCGCAATTATTCGACCGCGTGGAACGAGCCCGAGCACCACCGTGTGTGCGGCTCGGGCGACATTACCCCCATCGAATCCTTTTTCCTCGCCACAATATCGATTGTTTTCACTTCGGAGGGAAACAGGTGGCGGAAGAAGCTGCCAAGATCAACGACATTGGATAAATAACTTTTATCTGGGCGCATTTCGCCGGGTAGCCTACGCATCCGGCGTTGTCAAACAACCGTCTCCTGCAGCCCCAACAATTCCTGCTAGAGTTGAATACGGTTTTGATGACGCCCGTCATTCTGTTAGAGTTGGAGCGTCTGTACATCGAGACAATGCCTTATGCGCGATTGTCGTGGAATGATGTATTAATTTAATGAAGTTTATAAAGGGAGCCGAATAAAGGCGAGAAAATTTAAGTATCTTGCAGTGTAATTGATAAATTTATTGCTCTACTTAATTTGCGAATTGCGCTGCGCAATTAAATTAGAATGCGCTATGACGCATTGTGCATTTTAAATTTCATTTAAGAGCTTCTCGATAATCTACCGGGCAATGTATTTTTCATGACATTTAACGCCGTTCGCTTCGTATTGGAACAACATCGGAGAAACTCATGAATTATGAATGGGTCATGCAGCGTCGCCGTCGTTTTTTAAGCACCTGAACCTATGAAATATACAAGTAAATGTTTTGTATAAAAGTTTTCCGACAGGAGTTGTTGGAAGGACGGGGATGATAAATTTAAAATAAAAAAAAAACGTCACTCTATTCTAATGTTTCTAGACCTTGTCTAAATAATGGACGATTCGAATTTATACATGTCCTGTTGTTTTTAGTCTATTGATTATGTACATTTTAAAAATTAAGATTTATAAACATTTTTCGTAACGTCGCATACAATATTTCCCCGGGTGGAGTTAACGAGAAGGAAAAGTCATTAGTTTTAATGTTACTAAGAAAAGCCTGTTTGTTAAGTTTGTTAACTAAGTTCTGTTTGTCGAAAAAACAAGTTTGCTGTATTAAAATCTGGAATTTCCTCTCGTCAATTCCACCCAAGGACGCTCTGTATTTACCAATTCCTTTTTAACGGAATTTCAGATTATTTATGCGACTCTATAGATTCTCTTTATAGCTATCCAAAATGAAGAAAACAAGTGTTTGAGCGCAATATAAAGATCTTTTTTTTTACCTCTCCGGTCTCATTGTCCTTGATGTCACGATATACGGAGCCTTTTATTCTCGTGAAAAAAGATCATTAAGCTTTGTACCGTTTCCCGTTTGTTCGTAAAACGGTTAATTTTGTGTGTTGACTCTTTATTAACCGTAATTTTTACTGCTTCCCTCTGTCGACAAAGTCGCCTAGGACTCGTAAAACAGGAATTTTCTAAGAGAAATGTCCTGTTGTTTAATCCCACTTTTTTTCATCCTAAAGTATCTTAGAGTGAAGCGTTTCCTTTCAGGAATTCAAAAAAAAATTTAATCGCGCAGGAACTGTAAATATCTCTAGCGAATTTTCAAATTTCCATCTACGAATATTCGCAATTTCGACCTGGTAATATTGCTTCTTTTATGTTTCATTCCGACTTGAACTTGTTATCGAACGAATTCGGATGTCGTTAAAGTTACATATCAATCGAATCGGGAAAGTGTCATTAAAGGAAATTTTCGTGTTCCATCGACGATTTCCCTCCCAATTTTCCCTCGAATAAATACGAAATAACGCCGAGCAGAACGAAATGAGGGATGTAAAAAAATCTTAATAAACTCACAGAGTCCCAGAGTTTCCTCGGCGGTCGTTTGTATTGAACTTTAACATAAAATTATCTTGTAGTATATGAGAAGCAGATGGTCAAACATTTTAATATCATTATTCAATAAAATAATAAGTTAATTCACAATTTGTAGGTCATGGGACATAACTTATGTAGACTTAGGAAAAGCGGATTTAATAAAAATGTAATAAAATCCAAAAATTCGCCTTCCATCAATCTAATTTGGCCTAATTTTTTTGTATGAAAGGTCTTGGAAGTTTTCTGGATAATTTTTTGCCGGCGTTTTTGCTCGAAAATCAACAAGTGAGCCTCGAAAACGGCCGAGAAACTGTAATCAAACACTTCGGCGAATAAGTTGGGAATTTTCCCGTACTTGTTCCGAAAGTAAATTACGAATTAATGCCGACTCGTTTTCGAACATCATTAAAAACGAATTTCATCTCGGGAAGTTCTGTTTTAGAAAAATGCCGAAACGGCGGAAGTTTAGCAATTACGTTTCTAAATTATTAAAAAGTTGCACGATCCAATTTATTTATTAACAGACAGATAACGGCCTTATAACTCGCCGTTATTCTTTTGAAAATATCGGTTCTTTCCGTTTCACGTTATTTTACCGCTTCAATTCTCGTGTCGCGCTTTATGATAATTTTTGTGAAATAAATTATTTCTACTGCATGACAGATTTTCACCCTTGGATTCATTAATTTTTCTTAACTTCAAAATATTAACCAACGTTTCATTTTAATGAGTTTCTACACTACAGACGTCATTAGAAAAATGTTGCATATAAATATTTAATGACTTTCATGCATTATGAATACGCTGTATAAGAATGAAAATTTATTTTTGTCAATTGTGATAAACTTTAAGGGAGATTTCTGATGTTCCCAAATTAGAGTGATTTCTTAAAATAATTTATTCTGCATGTAAAACTCCTGAAAACTCCGACTTCAAAATGAGAACCTAATCTGCTAATGGAGGTCCCTTTAAGGTTTGATTTGTTTTCTTCAATGTTAGCTATACAAGTTCATATCCAGGGTTTCTCATTGTTCCATATACAAACTTTAACAAAAAGGTCCCATGTAACCCCATTAATTTGTAATCAATCTAGAGCATTTAATATTCAAAAATAATGATATAACATCTCTCATAATTTTTAAATCCTCTTTTGTACCCATATTTTTTTATTCAATGAACTCGTAAAATGTAAACACTCAACGAATTATAACGATAAAAATATGAAGTGAACTTTACCGTTTCGAATATTTTCATAAATACCGGATGGAAATAGGCCGGCATATAATAATATCCTGAAGGGAGATTTTTTTTCGGAACCGAAGGGCAAAAAACCGTTCATTGGCTTCATAAAGGTTCGGACTCTGTTGTTGCGTAAACAAACAACAGTGAAGGCTTCAGGGGATCAAAAAAATGCGACCGTTCAAATACTTTCGTGTACTGCAATTTTCATATTCAATGCAAAAATATTCCCTTTGCGACAACAACAAATACAGCGTAACCAAACTTGATTAATTCCCCCCGAATGTTGATGTTTCCCGTCTCCGAAGCACCGCTTTGAACGCAAACAATTTGCCTTTCGTAATAGGAAAGTTTGTCTTAAAAAAATATAAATAATGAAATCAAAGCGCCCTCCGTTCCGCGAACACGGGATAATATTTTCCTCTAAAGGCGCAATCGCCCTCGTCCCTTAAAAATTACGCATTTACGACTTAATGAAGACCGTTTTTAATTAACGCACGTTTGTAATTTTTCGCGTACAACACGAAACATTCCTTCAAATTGGGCAGGAAGCGAGGAAGCGAGGGTATTTAGAGCTTCAAGTGCTAATTTCATTAGCAAACCCTGGGAAATGTCAGCGACAGGAGGATATCCCCTTTTTGACATTCGTTATTACGCACACAATACATTTACCGTTTAATTAGTTTTCGGTGTAATGCGGGATGATTATAATAGGACTGGAAACGATACAATCAACCAAAAATTAGCTATTTTGTGAAACGCGATATTAAACCGTTGCTAGATTAAAATTCGACTACATTTGAGTGAGATTTGTAATAGTTATCAAAAATACTCAAAACCAGAGAGATATGCATTTTCCTAGTTTCCTCCCTCTCCAATACTGCGGGTTTTTTAGAAACGAATTTTCATGGTTTCAGGATAAATTTTGATAAATTTTGCAGCTCCCGAAACTCAGCAACAATCAATTTGTAGCATATTAAGCGACATGTACTCGTTGGGAATGGTGATTTGCGCCATCTTCAACAACGGTCGGTCCCTGATACAGGCGAACAATTCAACATCGGCTTACCTCAAGCAAATCGAACTGGTGAGTATTTACTGTTCTTTATCGTCGATTGATTAATATTAGTGGGCATTAGTTGGCGAAATGGGTATAGTAATTGTCGCGCGTTCAATGGCCACTGCGCCGATTCACTCACGATCTAATCTGCAAGTTACAGCTGTGCTATTACATTTTGATAATCTAGTTCGAGCGGAATCTGTTCCGGCAAACAATGTCCTAAATAGATCAAATAATGTGGCGAACGGCTAGAGGCCATTTCTCATCAAGTATACACGGGCAGCATAAAGCAGCCGAATGATCATCACTACGGTTATGTGCATACATTAAATCGAACATAAAATTCACTACTACTACATACATATTCTAATTACTCTTATGATATAATTAATTATTACGATTAATTCGCTAATAAACTTTTTTCTTTAAACATCGCCCGTTTGCCGGAGTTAATCTTTTTAGGTAACTCGAACTCGGCGATTCAGAATTCTAATTAAGTGAAGCCTTCGGGGAGGTACGTTTAGGAAAAACTCTATTAATTAAATATGAAGTATTTCCTGCAAAGTTTACGGCTAAAATAATGCAATAAATCAGTGACAATGGAGAAAGTTTCGCGATAACGAGTAATTTTCGTCCTTTATGTTGCGTTTCCGAATTGAAGCGGTTAATGCGACACGGAATTAAGTTGGCGAGCCAATTGAATCGTATACAGGATGTTGAAGAATGGGACACGTCGAGATCGGGAGTACAACTGCAGGGTAAAATATGATTGAGGATTGCGAAGAAAACCGTGATATACGAGATGTTTTGTTAACGAAAAAGAAACGAGATTTATCCGAAGTACTAGCTATAACTTTTTCGGTGTAATGCGGCAGGAACGAGCAACTTTTTTCATTTTTTACAAGCTCGGATTGTTAGCGAACTTTCGCTATTTTGCTGATTTATTTTACCGATATTCATTGAAACGATGATGGATGTACACCAACAACTTTAACTCCCTTCAGGTATAAACAATCTCAATCAAATTACAGCAAAATGCGCCTGCTATCTAACAAGCATATACTACATTATTATGTGCTAATTTTTTTCAGTATTTTTTTAGATGGAAACAAATTGCTTCTATTAATTGCACTACAAACTACACTGGTTGTATCATAACTTCCTTTAATTAAATGTAAATAATTGCGCGCTGTAGATTTACGAGCCGCATATTCTCAATAAAACATTCCGTCTTCTCGAGATGCTCTCGCGACGTGATTGAAGTTCTTCGACTGTGAAGATTCAATCGAAACTTCGTCGACTAACAAAAGCTTTTGTGTTAATAAATTTCATTAGGAACGTACATATTTTCGACTCCGGAAACTGCAGTAACGGTTACAAAGTTCGAGCCATTGTGTTTTTTTTAAGTCTGCTTTATTATGCCCGAAAGATGGTGTATTTTATTCGAAATAAAAATCATCCTGCTATCCTTCGCAGGATTTTAAATTTTCTTTCTTCGGCAATTCCTTAACTAAAAGGATAAACAAAATTAAACAAGGCGCTGATTACGGGCCATCGGCTTTCCTTACACAATCACATCTTAATACAGCCCGTTCTCCTGCTTATAGCGTCTACTGCTTACGCTCGGCTCGCATCCCATCCTGTCCTTTTTCCCTTCCGACATGAGGAAAAAAAACCTTTGTCCTTTGTCCTCTTGCGCCCGGCGAAATTTATTTAATCCGTTTATTCCAGTTGGAGGATCAAGTTCGGAACTTGATTCCGAGGGTTCCACTGCCGCTGCAGGAGGCGACTACGAGGCTCTGCAGCAAGGATACCAGACAACGACCGACGGCGCAGCTGCTCACTCTTATTAAATATTTTAGGTAAGCGATATTGTACATTTACCAAGGATGCTGTAATCACTAAACTTCGAATGGCAAGGGCAACCGCTACAGGAGCTGGCCTTTTACGCCACTAGCTATCGCACACATTAACTAATGTAAATTATGTAAAGCTATAATTTTGCTGCACAGCCACTACAGGGTGTTATCTAAAATTTTATAAAAATTCACACCTACAGAGATTTAAGAGTTAGGTGGATATCGGATAGCCCATAAAACACTGCAAGTATGTATCTAAAAGGGTTTCCCTTTCGCGTATAGAAAAAGTGCCTTGCCAGTCGACAAATTGATTATTCTACGGGACACGTGGAAAACGATCCCGTCGGGTTTTATATATAAAGTGCAAAGAGCCAGCTCGTTCTGCTAGGGGAATTCGATTTGCGAGAGAAATGCCGATTTGATCTCGCCCGAGTTTTTGGATTGATGCGATTATCTCGGGCCATTGCCGGCAGATTGATTGCAAACGGTTGGTTTGGAAATCACAATGCACGTCTCCTTTATCGCGCCCAAAACTCCCGAAGATAAGTTGCTTCGCGCGAGATAGAGATTTTATGCGTTTGTCTACACACCATAATGGGTCTAAAGAGCCATAAAATTGAGTGTAAATCGAGCTATATAAGATAAAACAAGTCATTTATTTATTTAAGAGAATCACTCCGATCGGTAAAGTGATCTTAATTTATCTAATTGAGGGAAGCTTCATGTGCCTGTCTAATATAGCAAATCACTCGTATGATATTCAAAATGTTCCGATTCGAAATTGGAACACACACACACGGACGCAAATAGAATAAACCTCCGTTTCCGACGTTCCCGCCGTTTGGGCAGTGCGGGGCTCGAATTAGAATTCCGGTTGAAGAACGGAGAAAAGCAAGTGATAGCCTCTCGGTAAACTAATTACTGCTGAGGGCGCGTTACAGCGGCGTTCGAATAGAATTCGCTTCCTTTTGACCGCCAATCGACTGGAAATGCCTCTCTATTAAATTCAATACCCATCGTGAGTGGCATCTTTTTTTTATTGGTTTACAAACGGCAAGAGGAAAAAAAAGGATAATTGGAACGAACGGCGAAATTGAGAGATTTGATTAAATCCGCTGCCAACTAAAAGGTACAAAACAGTGTTACTGAGAAATATGATTCGATATAATGGTTGTTTTTGTGTTTTTGTTGTTACTGATTCGAAAATAGCATGAAATATATTTTTATGTGGGTGGGAAATTATTATAAAATTCATCGCTTCGGAAATTCGGGCGCACCTGATGAAATTAATCGCTTTGCGCTGCTTGCTAACGAAGTCTCTCTTGCAGAATGAAATTTACTCAGCCCGAACTGAATTAATGTCCATTTTCGAAAGCCGATTAAAACTCGCTTTATTATCGAATGAAATTCAAAAAACAACCTGTGAATACCGCGGAAAAACCGGACGAATAAAGAATGAACAAAATTAACCCCGGCTTGCGTATATACAGCACATCCCTTTAGGGACTTGATACTCATTAAGTTATTCATCTATGTGCGAATGGTAGAATTGCATTCGACCGAGGATAACCTCCATAATTGAGTAAGGTTCATATGCATATACAGGGTGTCCAAGTATGGATGGAATGAATCAAATTTTAGTGTCGAATGTAATCTTAATTTTTAATACTTCAAGCACTTCAAGCTTATAAAATTTGACTGAAATTCGATCGTTTATTCCATACTTTTTGGACACCCTGTGTATACCTAAGGGACACGTGTGAGGAAAATGCAGTTTCCCTGATACATGTGGAAAAAATACGATTCGGCAAACTCGATTTAGCATCTTGACCATTAACTATTCGCCCGGACTAAATTGGACTGGTCTAATCTGATTTCCAGCGATCCGGCGTTGCACGCTCTTCAGTTCCTGGACGTCGTAAATATGAAAGACCCCACGCAGAAGTCGCATTTCTATCGGATCGGTCTTAAAGACGCATTACCCTTCATCCCGAAGGTAAGTTTTCGACGATTTTCTTTCCGATACGCTCCACTTCCATCGCCGATATCGGTGGAGAACGGGAGGAGATGCGCTATGGGTTAATTAAGTAATTCTTTTGTGACCCTTCTGGATTTTTTATTGGAGCATAAAATGTTCGTAGCCGAGTTTTCGGGCGTTTTATGTTTTATTTTTACGGCGGTACGAATTGTTTTTGAATGCGTTTTTGTTGGAATAAAGGTAGAGGAAATGAGTTAATTAGTTTGCTTAGTAGTTGATTTTTGCGTAACTTTTTTTTCGAACTATGCATTTTTCGACAACAAAGCGCTTCGAAGGTTTCGAAGGTTCAAAGGCCGAAAGTGTTGGCTCTCCGATTTTTCAATTTTCAATTCCACTTTGCGACCCGACCGGGTTTTATTGATGTTTAATTCTTTGTCGATTTTCAGAAAATGTGGTATCAAACCGTATGGCCTTGTTTGCAACAGGAAATGAGAACTCAGGAGGTGCTGGCTGCCGTCCTGCAATCGGTATTGTATTTTGTGCAGGAAGCTACAGTCGATGAATACGAGTCCATTATTCTTCCGTCCTTAAGGTAAGCGCTTTTTCATCTAAAACGATTTTCCCTCCCATTATTGCACGAAAATAATCCTTACAGTCACACGCCGCAATAGATTAAACTTCGATTTTAACGAGCAGGAATTCATTCGATCCTACTTACATAATACATATATAGATGCTTCCCAATTTCCGATCGGGGATCGACTCGACAGCAAGCACACAAAAGACGCAAAACACAAAACTCCCCGATAGACAAACCAATCACATTCCCCGGGAAAGATTATCCCTTTCGACGTAAGTACGCTGTCGATATTGCGTTCAAATGATAAATCGAAGATCAAAGGACCGCGTACGTAACCGGCATGCAGACACAGAGGCTCTTCTGGAGTTAATTAATTAGTTTTCCTGCTCGCTAGATCGCCTCTCATGGAAAATTTAATTTTCCTCTAACGCTACGCCCACTACAGAGATAGCTGCGAACTATAGTTTTAAATTTCGATTTTGTAGTGTTTAATCAACTGTAATTAATTGTAATGTTAATGTGTTATCAACGAATCTCTGTTTGGTGAGATGCTGTTTATTTTTATAGTGCATCTTGTTAATGTTCTAATTGGATATTCGATTTCAGAAACGTGTTTTCGGCGCCGAAAACGGTACAGGCCACCGTGACTCTTCTCGAAAATTTACACATAATTTTAGAAAAAACCCCACGAGAAGATATCCAAACGGAAATCCTACCGATGTTATACAACGCTTTCGACAGCACCACAATACAGGTTCAAGTACGTATATTTTCCAACGCCTTAAACTCCTTTAAATCCATCGTTAACATTTCATAACTTGGTACATGTAGAGCGCAGCTTTGGTGGCCGTTACCAACGTTTCGGATTACCTGGAGGACACCGCGATAAGGCGGATAATCCTGCCGAAGACGAAGATGATCTACGAGAAGAACCAAACCGACTCGAAATTAATATCGAACGTGCTCTCCTGCGTCGAACAGACCTTGGGTAGACTGGACAAGACCCAAATCATCGACGAAGTCCTACCCTTGCTCTACGACATCAAGCTCTCCGATCCCCAGATCACCCTGAGGGTCGTAAGTAAGTTCAATCACACATAATTCTAGTTAAACGTCCATTAATAATGGGTTAATTGGTAGATATTTACCGGCTAATGTTGACCGACAAACGCTACGGGCTGTCGGTGAATCTGATGGCCACCAAAGTGATGCCATCGCTGCTACCTCAGACGGTCAATCCCTCGCTCAATTTGGAACAATTCACGATCCTCATCGAGGTGCTGCAGGACATGCTCGAGCAGATCGACCGCAATCAAAGGAACAAACTGAAACTGGACAATCTCTCGCTGCCGAGCCCCGAACGACACCGGCCCCTGCGGCACCAATACAGCTCCGACAACATGCACGTGCCGCCCTTCAACATCCCCAATCTGCGCATCGAGCAGAGGAAGACGTCGAGCGCCGAGGACATGGCCCGCAAGAACTCCACCGGTACGTATCCGATTCGAGCCGACGCCGGCGGTGCGGTAACGATCGCCGATTTCCAGGCGGCATTTTGGGCAGCTGGTGGTTCGGCGGATCGCCGTCGTCGCCCGACAGCAATTTCCTGCGAGTGGCGAACGCCTTCCCCAATCGCCGGCTGTCGGACAACACGCTGATGACGCCCAAGATCCGGGTGGCGCCGTCGTGCGCCTCGTCGCCGGGCGGCACGCCGGGCGGCGGCCTGCCCATCAGGCGGCACTCGAGCATCGGGCCGCAGGAGAGGCGCGGCTCCACCGTCAACCTGTCGCCGCCGACGGTGAGTACCGATCGATGTCCGTATATTACCCTACACCGATATCGTTTCGTTCGTTTGGTCATTACCTATCGAACGGTACCTAATGAATTGGGCAACAGTTCCTCGATGCGATGATTAAAATTCGACTGATTCTTCTCGCTAGTTTCACGAAATAGTATAGGGTTCTTCTTCTAAATCTACGTAAAATTTTAGAGCAAATTACACCGTTCCCGTTGAGCTTGACTCACGCTGTACATTGGATAAATAATGTATAATTAATATTCCGCCCACTTTTCGTTTGTGTATACGTTGAATTTTGCAAACCCTCAAATTTTATCATCGGTTAATTTAGTTTTCGAGTTACAAAAGCACAACCGCGCGTCCTATTTATATAAACAATTAATGCAACATGAACGTTGTTTTGGCTTCGAATTGTCATCGCATCGATTAACTCTAAATTCGCGAATACGTAACATGAACGGTTCTCCGTAATTCGCGACAAAGAGAATGGATATATTAACGCATCAGAAACAATGATGGAGCTTCGATTAACATCCTTAGTCGAATTGGATCTGCCAGAGGACTGTCGATGCCGCTTAGAGAACGGAACTCTGCGGGAACGCTCGGAGAGAAGAATTTGCAAATTAGTAAAATTATTAATTGTTTCAAATAAATTGCGTCGAAGCTCCGTTGTTTCTGTGAAGTTCAGAAAGGGAATTCGTTTGGGTAAATTGCTGTTTGTCGCGCTATTATAGAGAACGTCCAAGTTATTTCCGATGCACAAACGAGATTAGAAGTTGTAATAGTTATTTATTTAACAAAACGCTTTGTAGGTCAACGCTATCTAGAGGTAAAGAGCTTGGTTAGAACTTAGACTGATTATTTATTTATTATTTTTTGGATATTATTTCATCTTGTAGTGCGTAACGGTACGTTTCAGGCAGTAGTAAATGTTAAAATTGAAGGTAGTTTATGAATAGATTGCAAAGTAATTATTAGATATTCTCACTCTATATTCTTGTTGCGATTTTATTTCCTATATAATCTTGTTCTTATTTTACATGGAGGTGTTTTTAACAATATTAATAATATTTTCTTATATTAATTGAATAATAGAAAGTACAGTATAGTTGTATGTAAATTCTACTTTTGCCTTTTATGTATTACAAATCATACATATTCTGTGTACTCTATCTTTTCTATTACAACATTAAATTTTCCTTCTACAGTGCGACAGGAATATCTGTAAACATGCTTGGATTATTCATCACTGCGCAAGTCTCTCGTTTACAGCAATTGCTGTCACACTGTACAGTACTTTTTATTTCCTGGAGTTTACACCCTTATTATTTCCGTTTAGCGTTTATTCGTCAAAATTATTATGCGTAAATAATATTCTCTCTTTATATCCCTATTAATTCCAATTTTTCGCCTTAAACTTGAAATTGCCTCCTATTTAAATCTCGTCGATAATAAATATGGGGAAAATTGGGCTGTAATAAGGGAAGGTGAAGCGGAGTCAGAACGAAATTAGGGATAATTAGCTTGATTTCCGCTCCGATTTTTGATCAAGCTTGATTAGCTTGATAATTAGCTCAGTTTCCGTTTTTCATGTTTTTTAATGATAAATTGTTAATTAAAAACCGATTCGGATCGCGAATGTTATGCTTACAGAATAGGTAGGAAAAAATGATAATACTCAATTAGGTAATAAGGTTTTGTAATATTCTCTTCTGAGGGAAAATACCTACATTTGCAATTTTTTTTCGAAATTTATAAATACCCAGGAAAGTAACGAATACGGATTGTAAAATTGTTTTATTCCTTCATATTCTCCTGCTTACATTTTTGATATGTATAAATAATTTAGACTTTGAAAGTTTGGCAATGCTGTATAACTTTTCTTCCGAATGATGAGCATTAAGAAGTTACTCATTCCCTTTAGAACATCCCTTTATACATATTAGAATAAAAGTAGCTTGAATAAAGTCTGTTGGTAAGAAAAACTTAAAGGCAAAAGTAGAATTTACTTGAATAAGGTAAGTATTAAATTAATTTCGTAAAATCGGTTAATTTACGAAGCTAATTTATCGATAATGAAAAAACTTAAAGGCGTCTTGATTTTCCATAAATCTTGCTTGATCAAAATAAGTCGATTTAGAATAAAATACGAAATTTTCTGAACCGTTCAAGAGGAGAAAATTCTCGACAATTTTTTGATCATTCTAAGTTTATAAATATCCCGAATTGAGACAACCTGTTATTTAGGATGTTCTAGAATTATTAATTCATTATAAAATTAAATTGCATATCGTCAATTAAAAAAAACTGCGGTGCGGACAGTCAATTTAATTGTTTTTTCAATAACAACATTAATTCCGGAACAACCTATATTGGAAAAAACCAACAAACGAATTACAAAATATGATTAACAGACAAAATGCAACGAACATTTACTAAACGAACATCAGTCACGATCATTTTCATCAATTTCAATTACCTACATGTTTGGTGAGGCGACCAAATCAATAAATTTGGGCAACTGCGAATAAATTACGACGCGATGTCGATCATATCGTACGGACAAATCATCCCCATTTAAACACTAATTTTTTAACATCAGGATATCCGACAAGTTTTTCCTTTTACCAGAATGTTTCGCTTCCCTCGGGATCGGAAACGATTCACCCGATCGATCAATTTCCGCCGGTTCTCCTTAGACTGTTATATTAATTTGTATTTCAACGTACACAGGACCGCGAAACTTTATTGTTAACTTCATCAACGCAAACTCAATATTTCCTGACGAATGCCGTCAGGGAATATTGATAGACTAATTAAAACCCCCGTTAACCCGTAAGTTTTCCCAGTTGGAAATACTAAATTTGTGGAATGTGCAAAGTTTCAATGAGGGGTTGAAACAGTCGTTCGAAGGTCTTATTAATAATATTTAAAGTATCAAATTACATAGGCGTATAAATTGAACTAGATAGGAGCATTAATCGTACAGGTATTTGAGGAGTTCTCTTACCCACCTGAGCAAATTTGATTTGGTACATTTTAGAATAATTCTCTCTAGTTAAATATTTATATCCCAGCGTTCGAAATGAATATATTCAATAGTACATCTTGCATTAACGCGGGTTTTATTAACTGAAAAATAGCTCGTATAGATGCGAAAACAAAGCTTTGATTAAATAAATGACTATTACTTTGAAATTGTGATTGGATGAAAACATTTTATTTATTTTCACTCAGTGTTCCGGTTTATTCAGGAATTACTTACAGTGCAGCATTTACATAATCAATGAAACGTTTCAAAAATTATTTATGGATTTCCAAGCTCATTTGATTATGTAAATCATAATTTAATTCGAATGCGCTGCATAGATACAAAGGTTCATTATAAATATTTATTTTTCACAATCTTTTTTCCATTTTACATACTTTTAATTATTGTATTATTTATATTGTATAGTAACTCTAATTTTTATTCAATTTGTTTCCTATATTTCTATATTAATTAATGCTCTATATTAATGAATATTTCAAGTCAAATTTAAATTGTTCTGCAAGGGAAACTTTATATCTATAAAGCTCTGTGAATTAAACGTATTGCACCACATACAATAAAAACACTGACCAATTAAATGCGAATATACTTACTTAAAAGTGCGATTTGTCGCACAGGGCGCAATAGGGTACAGCTCATTCCGAGAAGGCTCGAGCCTTTCGGTGCCATCTTCATATGTAAGTCCCCCTTAAATGTCGTTAAGTGTGTTTGTTTGTACAGTATGTGGCTCTTATTGTATAAGAAAACGACCGAGCAAATTGAGTACAGTCATGCAATAGATGCCGCGTTTTAATATGGCCCTTTTGTCCCTTAAAATGTTTGCTCGTGAATTCTCGTTCTTCAATCCCAGAAATTCATCCCGGAATATTCACTTGAACGTAAATTAATTTCCGTGCGAGTCCGTATAAACATTTTTTTGGAGTATCAATGGAGCTAAAAAAACAAATTTAACTTTTCCATAAGGAGCCTGGAATGTAATATTTTTCGAAACTTTGGAATTAACTGCCTGAAGTTGGATAGGCGAGATACAAGGTAGACTGGAGTTTTAGGGTTTGATTTTTGCATTTGAATCGGCAACTTTTCATCGTGTAGCCTTGAAAAATACCCGGAACTTTATTCGATCAAACGATTTATTTTATTATTATTCCTATGTATAAATTTGAGATTTCTTTGATTTATGTATTTGATAATTTGTTATTTATCTAACTTTAATGCTATTTATCTATCTGTATATTATGTATTTGAAAGTTTCTTCTAATCTCAACTAAAAATCATTCATTTTGTTTAGTTTATTATCGGCATCTATTTCTGCTGTACTCAATATTGAATGCTTCATGAAACAGTTATGAAAATAATAAATAATGTTTCCTTTTAATTACCAAACCTAAATGTTTTGCATCGCTCAGAGTAGATTATTATAAACTTTTTTCAACGAATTTAATTACTGTTAGTATTTTACTGTTTTATATTACTTATTACAAATAAAATATCCTAAGAAGAAAATTTAATCCCGTTGACATCGAGTTTTAAAATAAACTCGCGTTTCCTTCAAGCATCCGAAAAAATAGAAAAGTCTTGAACTGAACTAATTACAAGTACGTTACAGAGAAATTTTCGTGTTTATTGCAGAACAAATCCAAACAAACAAGTAATTCATCTAATTAATTAACTGTAGGAACTCTTCAGTTTATTGGCGTCAAATAATAATTTGGCACACGCTTCATTTTCTAATTAATTTCTAATTGATTGACTCTATCGCTGTGTGGAGTATTCAATTATTACATTAGTTAATGAAACGTTGTGCTACAATAGGTCAATTTAATTTGCAAACATATCGGACGATACAAAATAATATTATAATTAATAATATATTATAATTAATTAAACTAACAGTAATATTTATACCAATACGGTACATTTTAAACAGTACATTTTTTATCTACTCTGTAGTGCTAATATGTTTTTATCTACTTTCATTTTGTAACGCCACTTTAACTCATTTACCTATTAATAATTTGAATAGATTATTAATTGGCTATTAATAATAAAACAATGCATATCAAATAATGGGAGAGTAACCGAGGGCGAGTAAATTGAGTTTAATAGGTACGAGCAACAATAATCATGTATAGAGAGTGGAAATTGGTAATTATTGCGAAAACAAAATTTTAGAAATGTATGAGTTTATGGCGAGTTTATGAACATTTTCTTGTATACACCCGTCTCTCTTCAAAGATCAATATATCCTGCCAGATTGACCTTTCAGGGTTAATTAGTTACATGTAGGTTTTCCTGATCGCTTTCAAATATTTTTATACGCTCTACTATCGCCATATTTACATATTTGTATAAATACTATACCATAATAGAAATTATATAATACAATATATTAATTTTTCTAACTCAAACTTAAACTATTTTTAATAATTTTACATGTGGAGCAATTACTTTAAGAAAGTAGATAAAAATCGCATACTGAATGCACGTGTTATAAAGATGTGTTACGATAGCTTTTTCTACTGGAGTTGGAATTTCCAATGGGAATCATTATAACACGCACATTGCGGGAAAATTCGAACCCAAATTCTCATACGGGTTTTCCTTGGAATCGCCCGAGCGATTACTAATAAAGTGAATTGTTTGAATAGGGCTCAATAGGTTACAGATCGGTGTCTCGGCAGGCTTCTAGCCAGTCAATGCCGACAACTAGTCAAGCATATGTAAGTCCTTTATAGATGTTCTGTGTTTTTTTTGATAGCTTTGTGTCGTTTTCGCTGGTTCGAATCGAACAATTCAAGGGACATTGTGGTCGAATTACTATTGGCTTTTTTATTCCGCGATTGTTCACGAGAATTATCAATTATCCGATTCCAGTCGATGTTGGGATTTATAAATAATATTAATTGAATGTAAAATGTAAAATCGGTCCGTATTTGAGGCAAATACAGCAAAAACCGAATACATATAGAATAATAATTGGCAAATGGTAAATTTTTGATTAGAAATTGTTCGGGAATATAGAGGGAAATGAAAATCGTATGTTTGTACAATTACCCCAATAGCAGTGGTCATTAATGGGAAAACATGGTTACAAACAAGCCTGGTTTTTGGTTATATTTCCCATTTTTTTAGATTCCAATTGAACCCAAATTTAAAGTTAATTACCATGATTTGCAAACCTGTAGCCGCATATACTGAAAAATGTTATATTTATAATAAATCTTAGGGTAATGTGGCATTTAAATTGGGATATCCGCTTATCAAGGATTCTTTCGAGAACATTGCAAATAAAAAGTATTAAATATGTTACATCTACGATATTGTTTAGTCAGCGGAACTTCGCCCATGAATTCATCACAAACTTCTAGTGTTTACGATGTAATATCAAATATTTACATTGTCCTGTTCAAGGGTTGAATAGCACCTCAAAGGGGTAAAAATCTGTTGACACCACTGTATAGATAAATTAGACTGATGTATACATTTAATAAAGTTTTTTTTTTCGTCGGAAATGACCGAAGAAATCACAGGGGTGACTACACTACCCTCTTACGTTTTAATTAAAAAAATCCCTGGAGTTTTCTACTTGTTGAACGTTGCCCGTTTGCCACATACATTACATCTCACATCACACCTCACAGTGTTTTCACTCTGTTCAACGTAGACTAGTTTACTTTCCACAAAAGAAAAACACCATAAAATATATACAGGGAGCGGAATGTAGAGCAGCAAATTCGGTTCGAAAGGTATCGATAGACCAGCGAACGTCTTTCAAACGATATGGCTGACTCTATTCGCTCCTGAATTTAAATTTAATTAGCTATCTAATTTACGTAGAGTTTATCTCGAATACTCTGTGAATGTAATATTTCGGTAACGCCATCGAATTTGTTCGAGTATCTTGCTTCGTTCGGAAGATGATTTAAAATCCTGCCTTGCTCTATCACGTCACGATTTCGCAATTTTACGTAAGTAACCTTTTTACGATCTAATTTTATGCCGGCTCAGTTTTCTCGAAATAATGGTTTCATCGGCAAAAAAACACTAGCTAAAACATTTTCTATGTTTCGCGCTCAAGAGAGGATTAGAATTTCCATCGCGCATTCCCATAAATTAATCATACGTTGTCCGTTTGTCCACAACAAAAGGACCGTCCAGAATTTAATAAAAATATGAATAAGGATTTGAATGAGCTCGTTACCGAAATGTCGCATAAATGAATTTGATTCGAAGGGTTTTTGCGTAAGGGAAACTAGTCTAATCATGTTTCCTTTATCTTCATTTCATTTGTCCGTCCGTCCACCACCGCTTGGATCATACGCTGTTGCCGTGTGTTGTTGATTTTGCTCTGTCTCTGTTCAGCTTGCACGGAGCATGATAGTGAGTATTTGTCATCAACATAACCGTTAGATCAGTAAAATTAGTAACTTAATTTTGATCGACTTGAAAGAATCGATTAATCGAGCACCCTTGATTTACCACGAAGTTATAACATAATTGTTTAGTAGAGAATTGAGGCTCAAAAATGTTGTGTATCAAGTAGATTCATCAATTGTATCGAAGGATAGTCGAGTAATTAATCAAGCCGATGATTAATTGATTTGGTAATTAGGGTTACAATTAAAAACTTGCGTAATTTTACTGGTTTATGAGTATCTAGTCGGTGGACATTGACAAGACGATCTGTTATTGATTTAACGAGGGCAAACAATGTGTAAACTTTGCCGGATATCGGGATAATAAAGTCCTGAAATCCTGTTATAATACCCATTAGTTCCCGTTCAAGCAGTGTTCAATATTGTTTGTTGTTCTGAAGTTTCTACAGAATTTCACTTTGTCGGATTCATCTCGTCACAGCGATTTTGAATGGTTTTTAGTTCCATTAAAATCGGTTTCCTAACTCTTGACAATGTTCTGCCGATTTGTTATTTCGTCTATACCGATAATCGACGAGCGTATACACGGTGTAATTTAATTTCGCAAGTATATAATAGTTACCTGCATATTATACAATGTTAATTAAACGATAACGAATTTAGGTACAACGTCGATTGTGTTTAATTAGAGTAACATGGATATCAATTCCTCGCTCGTTGAGTTTACATTCGCCACTAAGCCTCATCGATACTACACGATTAATTTTAATATTAAACTGAAATAACCGATTACTTTTGGATATACACATGCACTGGTTATATGGTTTAAATTGCAGGAATTTTGCAGCACTTCTGAATAATACAAAACAAAAAATATAAATACATTTTTCATATTTTTTTACATTGTATTCATGCAGGTGAAATTATACGAAATTAAATTAAGCAAACGCTATTAATTTTTTATATTCAATTTAAAATAAAATTAGCAATATTAGAGAAATAAATAATTTTTTTAATATTAGGAAAATCGAATAAAATTCGAGCATTAACAACCCCATCGCAAACCTCGCGTATATTTAGAATATCTGATGTACAAGTATAATTAGCTCAACCAATGCGGGATACTAATATCGATTTGCCGCGATTTTCCAGGGAGGATCGATGCCGAATACGAGCAGCAGCGTACCATTCCTGCTGAGCAGCAGCATGCAGAGCATTAGGTCCCGTCGACCTTCGGCCGTGTTCGGAGGCTCCCAAGGCTCCCAAGGCCTCCTCCAACAGCTCGGCTCAGGCATGGTAAGACTCACCTCTTCACATCAACCGATCAACAGCCGAACAATGTCTAGTAGCACTGTTAGGAAATGTCCCTCATTGAATATAACATTTAGCTGAACGTACGTACGTATGACCGAAATATATGAAGAATTCAAATTCACATACCTATACACACTCCTGTTTTGTTTTTGCTTATTTATTCCTCCACCACCGAACACACTGAACGAACCCACCTATGTCTCTGTCTGTTTTTCGACATAGTACATGCATCTTCATTCATTTGGCGGCAGCTCGCTGTTCAATTACATGTTTAGAGCATTCATTTATTTAAAAAATTAATTGCTTAATATCTCATTTGAAGTTTATAAACAGAAGAAACATCCCAGTCTGTACTTAACTTCATATGCAAAAGTAAATTTTATGAATTATAGAAACAGAAAACTCTGTAGTAGTTTATACATATGATTGAAAGAGCTTGAATAAATATAAGAGTAATGTAAAGGCTGGCTGTTTTTTTATACAAAAAATATTTCTTTTTTACATTGAATTTTGATTTGAAGTTGTTTGGAAAGTTTAATGACCACAATTGTTTGAAGAAATAGTTAAAGATATACCTATTATTAACACTAAACTAATTCATGATAACTATTTCATATTAATACATTTTACAAACTGCAATAAAAAAAGATCTCGTAGGTATATTAGTTTGCAAATCGAGAAGATGCCAACACTTTTAATTCGAATGAAGCATGTGGAATGTTAGCAGTTCTTGCTTATTTTCCAATAGGTATGTAAAATCGGTCTTGGATTTTCTTTTTAACTGTGGTTATCAAGGAAATTGTTCAGCGTAAAAGTAGCGTAAATCTTGCTTTTTCATACTGTTCTCCTGTGTTTTGTCGCTAATTTTTTTATCCATAGTTAATAGATATTTACCTAATTTTGCGAGATGTTCGACTTTGAAACACAATCTCTATCTTGTATTGTCAAAAACCGTAAGAATATTAAAATTAATTTGTTTAAAGCAGTTTAGAGTATTTAAAAATAGTTATGATATAATAAAATAATTTAAATATGCAGAGATAGTGTTTTATGAATGACACTAAATTTAAGTTTAAAGCGGAGATGGAAACATTTTGATGCACCGGGATGTTAATATTTAATGCCTGTTGCAAAAATAAATATCGTATTGGTTATTTGTGGAATATATGATATTTTATTTAAAGGCAATATTCGATCTAGAAATATCCACAATATTGTAATTTAATCTATAAGAGTGCACGAGAGAATATAGGCTCTATAGGAGTAAATATAAGATTACAGAAATAATTGTAAGAATTTAATCTAATCTTGATTAATAATTAGTCTCCTACAATTAAATTTTATTTGCAATATAATGGCTGCTCCTGATGCATATTCCTACCATCTCCAGCTTTGTTTTAGATTTTATAGCTACAGTAATATCTAAATTTTTACATTGAATTAAAGAATTTTGAATTATTGAATGAACGAATAAAAAAATGTAGAAATTTAGAAATTATTTTAGATTTATTCGCTTTTGGATAACCCCGAGTAGCTCCCGCATAAATTCGTTTATTTTTTGTAAATTTCCAGTATCAACTGTTTGCCGGCCGTCAATAAGCACACGTCCCACCAAACAACTGCTGATTCGAGCTCGATTCCGTTCTTCTTTCTCTGTATGTATTTCGGAAGGAAAACGAAGAACTTGAATTTCGGACGTTCGCATAACGAAGAACCAGAAATGGCAATCCGAGCGACAATCACAGTCGACCAAGCACGACTTAAATTTTAAGTTTCTTTGTTCCGTAAATGTTCCTAGTTGTCCAAATGTTTTCTCAGTGTGTCTTATTATACCAATCAATTAACCGTTCCTGCGACCGAATATTACCGTTATTACACCATTTATTAATTCATTTATTTTTCAACATACCTATTAAAAGGAAACTACTGAACCTACACAACTCAGTCTAAATTTTGGTGGAGATTTCTTCTCAGTTCATCCACCATAATTTTAAAAAATGGTTGAATAAAGGGTTTTATTCGGTTAGTCGAGATCGTTTGCTGTATCAACTTCAGCATGCCTGTAAATTTGTGTCCTTCTATTCCTATTAAGTATTATGAAATATCTTGTCGACAATCGTACACAAAATATATAGTATGTATATAGGAAACTCCATATTTTTCGTATACATATTTGATCTGAATGTGTGCATGTACATGTTTTAACGTTTATGTGATTCAAAATAGCTGTTTCGGCACCAATTTCGATTTTTAGATCATTAAAGGAATGACATTTTGTCATCAAGATACATCCACATTGTTATCGGTATGTGTTTCAAATTATAGAACACTGAAACACCGTAGGTAAATAAGAGAAAACTATATTAAAAGGAATGTTGCTCTAAATACGTCATTTATATTTGTAGGAAATTTTAAAGTGTAATCGATAAATGTAATGTAGGTGTCAAACTTGATGATCAAATAATGTTTTATAAATAAGTAAATATTATCTTATATGAAACAATTTTATCTACCGTTTTTCTGTTAAATGTTTATTGTGATGTGTGTATTACCAACGCAGTTATTTGTTAATGTTTGGGTCTTATTATTTTTTTATCAGTTACTAAATAAAAATTGCGGTTTGAAAAATGTTATTAGTTTATCACTTTTTATAAAACTTCTACTTAAATAAATTATTTCTATTACTATTTCTCGCCAACCGAAGTAAGTAATTAATCGGATCAATTATTAGCAATTTGAAATGTAATTGTTGAGAATTTTATTCCTTAAAATCTATTAAATTGGATTATCGCCTGTGATATATCCTTTAGCTTTGTTTAACCCCAAGATGAATTGCCTGCTGGAATGTTTCTTATAAAATATTTTAAAATACTGTTAGAATTCCATATATATTTTATGACAATTCACTAGTGGCAAATAGTTATACGTTTACCGTATTGAAAAATATTTTCTTACAATGTAATAATATTACGAGATATGTATATTGTCAATGTTTTTAGGTACCTAATTGTAAAAAATGTGGATGAATTTTGATTCCGGTACATTTCCCCACCTCACTACATCTAGGCAACTACTTAGGTATACAATTAATTGGTAATTTCTAATTTATAGGACAGTATTATTACTGGACTGATTAAAAATCGCATAAAGTATGAATAGAAATATTCAATCAGTTGCCTAGAATGAAGTTTCTGGCGCATATTTATTCCTTTTCTTACATAGCATTTCGAATGTATTTTCCTACATGTTTGTTGTATATATTTCTGTGATTCCCTATCGGATTAGCTTGCAGTTTCTTCCGATGGTTGTGTCATTTGCTCAAGTTTGGTAAAATTAAGCATAAATGAAGGCTAAATCGAACCACAAAATGCCGGAGGTTCCAATTCATTACATCCATTAACAACACTACTTACCTTCTTAGATGTGTAAAATCCAAATATGTAATAGGTCCACACTGTATAAGTGATTCTAATGAGTTGGGACAACTTGTATAAACTTTTAAACTTAATTGAGTCAAGTTCAATAAAATCATGTATTCGATAGCTCGACTGTTAGATTTAATTTAATACATATCACATTCATTTATGTGTAATTTTCCAATGTATATCTCTATGAATGAATTCTTGCGTTTTTGAAATACCCTTATTCAAAAGGCATTGTTAAAACGTCGACGAATTCTCCTATTATACGAAATCTAATTGAACTATTTGATGTATATATTATAAATATATAAAATTATTGAAACGTGAAAACTGTCACGGCATTTCGAATTTATCAAAAAAATGTAAAATCAAAATTGAATACGTGTTATCTAATCGACAATCTCTGACCTATTTGCACAAAATCGTACAATTATTAAGCATCACTAACATTTTCAACTAAGGAGATAAGAAATTGTCAATACAATTTGCGGGTTATGTGGAGGTGTCTGAAAATAATGTATGTGCTTTGAGCGAGAGAAAATCCAATCATCATCATGACGATCATTTCCGAATTAATTCTCTTGCAAATTTATTATTCCCAAAACGATATTTGCTTACTTTTAATAGTATTTCAAAGGTATCTTTGACTAGAATCATCGGTGCTGGTCTAGTAAACTCGCCCTGTATAATTCCGATACTTCCGCAATTCTCGAAAAATTGAATTACTTACCTGCTATACCTTACATAATATACTTACTATTAAAATCTTTAAATAAATACTGGTACTACCCCAATTCTCTACAATTCAAAATTTTCTTTTGCCTTATGAAGGGTCAATTTTCAAAATCTTGGTGTTATACCTTGTATAAAATAAATTTGTGTAGACTGCGTACTAAACCAGACGCGGTAGGGTAGACCGCATAACAAACTAAATGCGGTAGGGTAGAGCGCATAGTAGATCGGCACCGAAAGATCTTGTAGGGAATATAATTTTGTGAGAGGGTAATTTCTAAACAAGTATTTTATAAAGATCATAATAACGATATTGTCAATCAAATGTAGATAATAATCAATTTAATGCATACTTTAATCTTAACCTCCATTAATAAACTAAAGTAGCATATTGGTCGTAAATTAGATGTAATATCGAGTCGTGAAGTAAAGGTTCTATTGACCGATCATTTTGGATACTTTCCACGTAAAACGTACAATGATATAAATATGTATATTTTATTGCCAATTTTTTCGACTGTTCTATTCAACTTCTATTTGTAAATTATCGGTTTTCTTAATATTTCGGTGTAAATAGTGCGATAAAAATATATAGTACTATTCTGTGTGATCGATTTTGTAGTTGAAAGGTGAAAAGTACAAATTACAAGTGTGAGGAAAACGGTAATTGGAAGACTTCTATCAGAAATAATTATCTCGCGAAAACTAAAATTTTCAGATAAATCGCAAAATGAAATATCAACGTTTGACTGATGCTTGTTTTATTTTTACAGATAAGGAATGTGTTCGATATTTTTTGTCTGTTGTGCAACTAAAATATTTATTCTATTTGTTGTTCTTTTTCGGCCTACCTCCTACCTAACAAACCCTATTTAGAGCCTATTAGAGCTAACATTTATCTGGAGGGTCAACAATCTAATCAATTATTAACAAAGAAAACAAGCGTAAAGTCTTCCAAACGGTCGTTTTCTGTTTCATATCAATAATGTAACAATTCTGCAGCAAGTAAGAAAGAGACATTAAAATGTGATATGTTATTTCGTGTATTTTTTTTCACTCTATTCATAATTAGTTATGAATATATCTATCATACCGTCTTCTCATCTAGAACCGATAAAAACAGGTGTCACAAAAAATACTCTTTACCCAAGAAATTGAGTTTACTTATTCTCACCAAGTCTCACATTACACTATAAAGTGAATTTTTACAGCATGAATAAACGACTTTTATTATTATTATTATCATTAATTAATTAATTATTATATTATTACATTCATCAGCGACGATTAGTCTCCTCAATGGCGAGAACGATGACCGTCTTCGCCTCTTCCTCGCTCCCTCTCCCTATCCCTGTCGCTCTCCCTTCGACCCGATTCCCGTTCTCTCTCCCTATACCTATCCTCGTAGTACCTCGACGACTTGGTCACGTCTCCACCGGCGTCCACCGGATCCACTGGCGATTTATTTCTCGATCGGGATACTCGCGAACTGAAAACAACAAGTATAAATTGCATTACAGTACAAAAAACTCGAGTAAGTACAACAGTAGATGTTCAGAACTGTCCATAAAGGACTTCTGATGAAGCTCTAATCATATTATACAGGGTGTCCCGTGTCCATCGATCGATGAATATCCTACTTAGCTACGTTGCATCGAATCACGAGTCACCTTGTATAATTATGTAGCGAGTAATAAGAAATAAACTTACGCGTCCTCCGGTTCTCTGTCTCTGTAATCTCTCTCCCTCTCCCGCTCCGTTCGCTCCCTACTCCTCGATCTGTCCCTCTCCCTCTCCCTTTCGCCGTACCTATCCGAATAGTACCTGTCCCTCTCGCGATCCCTGTCCCTCTCGCGTTCGCGTTCTCTCTCCCTGCTTCTGTCGCGGTACCGCGACGACGATCGCTCCCTCCGCCTCCTGTGCGACCGATCCCTCGATCGCGACCGGTCCCTTCGGCCGCCGCCGCCGCCGCCGCCGCTGTACGACTTGTCCTCGACGCCGCGCAACGTGTCCTGCAGCGAGCTGATCAGTATCTTGCACCTGTCGTCGTTGGCCACCTTCGATTGCTTGATCAACGATATGGCCGTGACGAGCGTCTCGATGGCGCTGGCGTACTCGCCGGCCGCCGCGTCCGATACGGCGCGGCCGATCGCCGACGACGAGACGGTGCGGTTGCGCGACATGATGTCCTCGAACTCTTGCTCGGTGAGCTGCGGCAGGTCGGGCGCGCCGGCGCGATGGTGGTCGGGCGGCGGGCCGCCGTACGTCGGCTGCGGCATGGCGTTGGGCGGGCCGTGCGGGTGCGCGTAGCCGTGCGGCGGGCCGTGGGGCGGCACGTTCGCCGGGCCCATGGGAGGACCGTGCGGGGGGCCGTGCGGCGGTCCTTGGGGCGGTCCTTGCGGCGGCATGACTGGAACGATAACGGCGTTAGTTTTTGCATTTGAATTTGTATGCGAATGCGGGGGTTTATAAATTTTTAATTCGAATCGAATCGTTTAAATATATTCCAATTTGGTTGATCATAAATTGGAGTGTGTATATCGATTATCATGTCTTTAACGCGATCGTAGGAGCGAATTCGTGATCATCCAAATAGCAGGATTTTTTTATTCAATCATATATATGGCATGCTACCGTAAAATAGAGTATTAAACTTTAATAGTGTATTGTATCGACTTCGTTTACACCGAGAACAAAGTTGAGCTACGCTTACTAAAATAAAATAACGTACAATAGAATTACAAACTCGTTGTATACTCTCTTTTTATAGCAAAATTTATTGCACCCTGTGCTTTAAATTGGCACTAAATGGATCATCCAAGCTGGTGTTACAACTCATTTCTGGATTTTAAACCGAAAATATTAAGCTAGTTTATTTGGAGTATCTTGCGCTTTTTTTAAGATAACTTGTTCTAATTGCAGTAAGCTCAATTTTAACCTCGATTCGAGTCAACTCAATACACTAAGAGAAGTAAATAGATAAAATACAAGACTAATATAGACAGATGGAGAAAATTAATTATAAAAATATTAGCAAAACGTAAAATTAAAAAAAATTTGAATACTCGGATTATTATTTCTCCAGCTATCTCAAAATAATAAATTTAAAAACAATAATTGCTTTACAGTACGTACATTTTCCATTTTTTTATATTGCAAATAAAATAAATACATCACACAATAAAGCAATTATTATTTAAAGTGTTGTTGCAACATAAACTACCGCATATTTTCAACCGTTAAGATATAAATAGCAGGAATTTTATTGTAACGATTGATCAATGTTTTATAGTAGATATATACAAATATTATTAGACTATCATAGATTTAGATTTAATACAATAATTAAATCTATAATAATCGTTAAAAAATTATTTAAACACGGAGCGAGAAAAAAATTGAATTTTTATCATAAGGAAAAAAATCTACAAAACTCGATGACAGGGAAAAATTCAATTTTCTAATATTAGTAATTATATTAAATATTCATTAACACACTTTCTTCGTATTATGAATAAACTATTTTATATATTATCAGACAAATCAAATTTAATTAATTTAACTTCCATTTGCATTTTTTTTTTCTATCAAAAAATTCTTTATCGTTACAATTTAATCTACCTTCTTTAGATGAACTCACAAATTTTATTTTCGTACGTACACATTACATATCATTATGATTAAGCTGATTTTTATAGTTACTTCACATCAGTTAGTTTAAACAATATTCTCGAGTTTTGGGGAAAAATTAAAAAAATACACATTTTATCCTTCTGTGGAATAAATCTTTATAATTTACGTTGCCTTTAAATGGGGGGAATATCGATGGTAATTTGGGATTTAATTCACCTAAATAAACAAAAATATTAAATAAAACTCGAGAATACAAAATTAAAAAATTAGTTACATGTAATTCGGGCAAATTTGTAACAAAATTTTGCATTTTCAAAAAAAACGAATCTAAGCACGATGTATTTACACATTTACATACAAGAATAAATACAGGTAAAACTCGATGATTTTCACCTAAATTCCGAGCATTGTAACAACAGTCCAATTATCTCGATTCGCTCTATTACCGATAAATTATAAATAATATACGTTACTCGGGAAATTTTTAAATATGTACCTCATAATACTACAAATTAAAATACAGCATCATTAGCAGAGCAAGTTGTTTTTTTATACACGATTCAATAAAATGAACACTTTCAGTCAGATGGATTAACGACTTTTAATTATATTACAGAAACTCTCAAAGTATTCTTATTGTTACAAATACATTCTAACCGACCTCTCGTGAGGATACATTAAAAAACAAATAAAATAAAATTTAAAATGGTCGTTCAACATTGTAATCATCTAATAGAAACATGTCGTTCTGCTTTGACGTAGATCTCATTCTCAAAACGGAATAATAGGTGTAAATACTCAGATTAATTAATAAATTAGATAAGCTCTTGCACATAAGTTAAAAAAATCATTTTCAAATTAGCATTAAATTGGAGGATAAAAATACAAAGAATTTTATTTTTTTGGAAGATTCTTGCCTAGAACCTAATTTAAATATAACTAAAATTCTCTTTTTAGAAGTCGACAGTGGCCTATCTAAGTAGTATATTAATCCGAGTGAAAATCTCGCTCCTACACATCTAAGAAAAAATGAAAAGTCTACAATACCGGGCCCTGGTCCAGGCATGTGTTGAATGGCCGGGGGCGGTCCGCCTCCTTGTTGGAAGAACGCCGGATTAACGTGCGGCGCCGGTCCTTGGGGCGGCCCCTGAGGCGGCGCCCCGGGGGGGCCCATCGGCGGGGGACCCCTCGGTCCCATGTTCGGTCCTTGCATGTGGGGCGGGTGCGCCTGCGGATAGCCCTGCTGCATCGGCGGCCTGTTCCAATCGGGGCGCATCGGCGGCGGTCCTTGCGGCTGCATACCCCTAGGGGGGCCTTGTTGCGGAGGTCCCTGCTTTTAATAGGTCACAGAAATAATGTGAAAGCACGACAACAGAGTGGTTTTTTTTTGGTTTAAATTTATTCGCTTAAACGTCATTTTATGCTAGTTTATACTATGCTACTATCGGTTTCTAAACGTATTTAAAAAAAAAGGTAAAATTTTTAATTCAACAATCTCTATTTTTTACATTTTACATTTTATTTAAATCTATTTTATTACATCGCAACATATTAAAAATAAACGTTGTAATTATGCACACATTTTTTAAACAATTACAATACATTCGAAATCGATAGTAACCGTCAAATGTGTAGTAAAAAATCGGAATTAAAATTAATTGATAAAATATGAGAATAATTTTCAAATTACAAAAACATTAGAATGAATTTATTTACATTTTAATCCCAATTATTTACTACGTAATTGGCGAAATATTAGAAACATTTCGAAAACAAAAAAAAAAGAAATAATAAAATCGATAATTTTCAACCGATAGACAATCGTCGTCGGGTGTAAACAATTAATTCAAAATAATTTACATCGCCTTACACTTTATTCAAATTATTTATAAAAACCAATAAAATTGATTCCAAAATTTAACAACCGAAAGAATTCGTATGGGGACAGCTATTTTATTAACAGTTACAGTGTTGCCAACGCGGGAGAAATTTCCTGTTTTGGGGTAATTTTTGCCAAAGCGAAAAGAACAAAAATAAAATTGCCAAATTAAAGATAATTTTGTACAAGTACAGGGAATAAGAATCTTTAAAGGCCGACAACACTGGATCAATTTACCATAATTTTTTCAACAAATAGGACAAAACGTAAACATTATTTCGACAAAAAAGAAAAACTTCAAGGGAATATTTTTTTTATAAAAAACATTAAATTGAAGTTGTCCTTTTCTGATACTTGTCAAAAATCTATAACTTACCAAGGGTGCGTAAGGAACACAAAAATACCTACGGGAGGGACCAAATTTTACTATAAAACAGGGGGAGGGAAATGAATTTAACAGCCTTAATTACATTTACCAAAATTATTACCGGTAAACCTTCAATCCCTCTAACACATGAAAAATACAACGTTTTTTTTTTGGAACATTTGCGGAAATGTACATTCGGTACTTATTTTGAAAACCATAAAAATAAATTTTACCTTATAAAATGTTTTAAGAGATATTTTTTCTTTTCACTTTTTTTACAACAAGGGAAGGTTAATAAAAATAACATATAATCATTTTGATCGATAAAATTGAGAAACCCCATGGGTAAATTATTCGCAGAAACTGCTAAAACTAAATTTATAATATTTTTTAATCGCAGATTTTACAAGAATATACAAGATTATGGGGGTGATTGTTAGAAAAGAAGCTAATAAACTATTTCTCCTATAGAAAAAAAATGACGATTTATTGATTAATCGGAAGATTTTTTTCTAGACAAGAAATACAATAATTTGTACAATTTTTTGCATATAAGATATCAAATAATCTAAAACAGCTTTTAATTTACAAAAGCTCAAGTAGTTTGAAAAATTTTCTGCCGTTAAAACACAAAATCATTAATGCGTACAAGGTTTATTTTTATAAACAATCGCTTTTTCATGCCTACAATACAAATTAAAATTTTCTGATAATTTAATTTATAAACATTAGAATTATTATAGACTCTGAACTTGAATCAGCCAACGCCACATCGCGACATTTATCGTCAACTTTCCACAGAAAGCCTCAATTATTCACAAGTTAGCCGGTATTTATTAATAACGAGACCTTTATTAATTAACTATACATAAATATATTAATAAATAGTTGTTAATTAATCGATATATAGATTAAAAACGTAGCAGACAGTCTTCCTGTTAATTTTTTCGTTATTTTTACAGTTCTCAATATAAAATCATCCGGAATTTTTATTTATACTCTTACAATAAATCGGGAGATTAAAAACAAAAAAGAATATAATATATTTACTCCCGGCTTAATTACTAATATAATAAGGCACAAAGACGGGAAAATAAACAAAGGGACTTAACTATATGTGTATAAAAAACGCAACAGAAAACGCTCTCTCGATAAATTAAACATACAATTTACATGTTATATCAAATCTTTATAGTATATTGTTGTTGAAGTCAATAAAATATAGTGTAACGCTACTCAAAGCTTCCTTTTAGCGAATCTTTAACATAAAGATTCTCTAACTTTACATTGCATGTCACGTAAAATAGTTTTTGTAATATATTCAATTGACTTTGGAAAAATTTTATAACGCAAAAAGTTTAGTAATCGTTCAGTACTCACCATAGGGGGGCGCGGGGGACCGCCCGGTTGACCCGGAGGCGGCGCCATCGGTCTCATGCCCATGTTCGGTCCGGGACCGTTCGGTCTCGGCCCGTTCCACTGCGGATTGCCCTGGAACCGGGGCGGTTGTTGGTGATTCATCGAAGGGGGCCCGTTAAAGCCGGGCGGGCCCTGTCCCATGCGGGGACCGCCCTGCATGCCGGGCGGCATGGGGCGCATCGAGGGGTTCATGGGATTCATGCGGCCGCCGTAATTTTGCATAGGACCTGCGTGAACATTAGAATTAGGATGGCCGGGATGGGGTTGGCGGGAATTGGTGTTATTGGATGGTGACGGTCGTGTTTTAGACTGACTTTCGAAATTACTTAGTGCCTGTTTGGTGGGAGGGGTGACGACCGGTACTTGACCGTTGATTTCCTTTTTCGGCAACAATTCCAAGCACAAGCGCATGCTGGCTTCGGAGCCCATCGATATCACGCAGAAACCCTTCGATTGACCGTTGGCCCGGTGCTCGAAGAATTTCACTTCGTGGAAGTCATTTACTCCTATATCGTGTACGGCGTTTTCTATGTCTTGATCTGTCGTCCACTAAAACATATACAGGGCGTTCGATGTTAACAATTCGACTATTTATGGTTTTGTGTGAACTCTTTCCTATGACATACCCAAGTTAGATTTCCAACGTAGAGCTGGTGACGTCTTACAGAAGCGTTCACGTTATTGGTGGTCGTAGTTTGTCCGCTGAAGTTCATGTTACCTCCTGAGTCTTCGTTAGCCCCCGGGGGAGCGTGGTGATTGGATTCGCCTGGTTGTTCAGCATTATTCGTACCTGCCGGGGCCGCTATCACGTCATCGTACAAATCCACGTTCTCTCCGCCGAAATCATCCTGTTCGGTCAAAAGGAATAAATACAACACGAGATTAATTTGCTATATTTTCATTTTTAAAGTATGTATTTCTAACTCGGGAATAAATGATAAAAATATATGAATATTTCGTTGTCTTTAAATACACGATTTTGGCGTGCAATGACCTTTCTTACAGCAACAAAAATCATTTTATTATCTTATGTGAGATATCGAAACCTTACTGTCGTGCTAAACACCGACTTTTATCATCAATTTACCGTCTTTTATAAGGATTATAATTAACACGCTCAAATAGACGAAATAAAATTGAAACATCCAAACAAACATGGAGGACGGTAAACACAAAAATCGATACTGAAGTGAGCGTCCCTGCCGGGAAATTCGCAACATTTTTTACGAAAATACGTGGCTTACCTGAGCGAAATCTTGTTCTATATCATCGGCGTACAAATCTATATCGTTCTCCTCTAACTTTACAGACGACACGCGGTTTCCAGCTTGCATCATGGTCGGTGCCGTGCCAAGCCGAAGATGAACACGAAACAAATGTATCTAGTAGCGAATTTCGACGTTTCACATTTATCGAAATTACTCAATTACACCTTTATTAAACCAATTGCGCCAACAAATTATGTTATATTCGATTTACTGTTAGTTTAAAAGCAATTCTTCACAACACAACACAACACAATCCAAGCACGAAGCGGAGCGGCTGAGCGGAATGCGAATATGATCTGTCAATTGTTGCCAACTTCGCAATAAAAAAACTAGTAACTTACTATAAAAATAGTCACGTATTCGATTTATTTATAGTGAAATCAATTAAAATTTTCGAATGAACCGTTTAATAACAACTTATGCGTTAAATAAGGTAGTAGATTTAAATCTATTTTGGAATGATTTATTGTATTCGAGTTTCTAAAACGTTGCCAATAACCCTTACGGTAGAGGCCATGATTCAAATAAACTGAAATTTTCTTGGACTAATCTTAGTTCATATGTAACTATTTTGACTTTTGACACCGATAAAAAAATATAACCTATGTTTTATTTTTGAATATTTTAATTTGAATCTTTTATTTACATTACATCATTTATCGGGGTTGTTCTTAATGATTTAAGTACAAAATGAGTATAATACAAAAATCTTTATTTAAGATACCAAAAATTAGGTTATTAGTAAGTAATTTATTAGTACTACTACTTATTTTTTAATGCTAACTTTATTCATTCCAGGCGAAATATTCGAGCAATCACGATTTGTTACAATTTAGATCTAATTTTACGGAAGAGCAGAAAATGAGAGTATTAAATACCTTAAATGCATCCGATGCCGAACAATTGTCTAGGTAAATTATCACATTTATCGATATTTATATTTGTTATATTCAAATCCCAGAATTAATTTATTTACCAGCAATCTATTAATTGTTTTATTTAGGTATCAAGTGTCGCAATTTAGAATTAAGAATATCGAATGCTGGAAGAGTAAACGAGGTCCATTTCAATCACTTGGTGAAGTACTGGAAGTCGAAGGTTTAGGTGAAAAATTACTGTTGAAATTATGCGAAGATATATTAAATGACGATAATAATGATAATGCAGTCAAGATTACTAAAAATACCAATGTGAAGATCACCAAGAGGTACAGAAATTTAGTTAGTCCTGTTATAAATGGAAATATTTTAAATGTAAGTATATTATATTGCAATATTTGATCGGATTAATCGATTAATATTATTTTTACAGAATTTTAAGTCAGCAGTCGGTGTTCACCTTAGTCCTATAGGCATAAGTTGGGCCAAAATAAATAAAGAAAACAATAATTTAGTTGATTGGAATTTTCAAGGATTCAGTTCCCTTCCGAATAAAATGCTATTGGACGAAACGTTTCAACAGGTTATTGAGTTGTATTTTAATGTTACGAGAAAATTTAAAATACAGGGTGTACTCAGATCTCAGTACTCAGATCAACCGGACATCCTGTATATTCAATTAATTCTGGAAAGTCTATTTTGTTTGTTTGTTACAGAGTCTCGACATCGTCGAAAAAATACCTCCCGGTGATTTGTACATTTTTGAAACTCATCCCAAATTGAGCCCGTCTGGTCAAACTCAAAATTCCGCCATTTCCGCTTACGCGCAGCAAATCGAATTAAATGCCATGCTGATGGCGCTTTTGAACACTAACGAAAATCGAAACGTTACTTTAGAAAAATGGCCGAAGGATAATGAGAAGGATAAGAAAAATTGTCTCATTGAAAACCGGGTTTTTTATCTCAAATCTAGAACTCCAGCAAGGTAAATGTTAATGCTAAATTACCCATAAATTTTTATAACAACTTGTCTGTTTTAGATTGTTCAAAACACTTGTTGGACAGGAAAGAGTCTCTGCCATATCGATTATCCAGCAACTACTAGACAATAACGATAATTTTTCACTACCATGTACTCCAGTTGCAGTGGAACCGAAATTAAAAACCTTATTTAACGCTCAAATATCCACGAACAAAGAGCTTTTAGGCCAAGCTTTGATGCTTATTATAAGCTTTATGGATTTGTGCGTGTACAAAAATCCCCTCGCCCTAAATTCTGTTTCGAATCAAAATAAAAAGTGATTGTATTAAGTGAATAAAACGAAGGTTTTTATTATTTTTCACAATTTAATTTCACTATTACCATCCAGAAAATGCGTTTTACACAGCGGACAAAGGAGAGACGATTTCAGGCACCGCTTCAAGCAGTGCGAGTGAAATAGATGATTGCAAGGCGTTATCCTGGCCCGCGACATGGCGGTCAAGCAGACAGCGCAAATGTCGTTCCAAGAATCGATTTCCTCCTTGGTGGCGATTCGAAAACTCCGGAAAATCTCCCTTTCGACGATCAACAATTTCCAATAATTATAATATATATCTTTTAATCGAATGTAAACTAGGAAATATACACTAAGCAATACGAAATTAGAGTATTGTACTAGTAGAAAGTAAGTAGAAACGACAGTACCGGCTAGTACTGTAAAGAAATTCATCGCCATCGGTACGTACAGGTGCTCCAGGTTCTCGAATTTTTCAATACTCAACATTTCAAATAAATCAGGTAAAGTTTCCACGAAGATTTTCTCCGAACAAAGGTAGTATAAAAACGTCAAAATGCTGTACAACAAGCTAGGTTGATAGTTGAGACCCTGTTCCCTCAAACACAGCACAATCACGATGGCCTTGACCCATTCCAAAATGACCTTGAATATCCACGTGACTAGATGCTCGATGGTCAGGAAGCTCCTGAACAACTGGAACCTCTGCCTGTGGAAGACGTCCTTTATCCTCGACACGAAGTAACCGAAGACCGAATAGAAGAGGACGCTCGTCAGCGCCATCACGACGCTTTTATCACCCTTTTCGTTATCGAAATTTTCATTTTCTTCCAGTAACAAATCGACCAGTACGAAGAAACAAACCTGTGACAGTAAGAAATTGAGATTGTTTCTCGCCCTGCTCGTGCGCACTTACCTGAGATACGAACGCATATAGACTTTTAATCTTAATGAAGAATTGTTCGACGCAATGGATTTCTTCCATGATTTCTGATCCTAGGGCTAAGATGAACTCTCTCAGGAACGGCCACCATCCTGAAAGCGTGCGGTTTTCGGTTAAATTAATTAAAATGAGTCGCGCGTTAAAATTATTTCTGAGCCTGTGGGCCTTTATAGTTTTAGTACCTTATTATAGTCTGATGGTGATTACCTAGGAATTCTTCGTCTTGGAACAAAAATGAGGTAGACATGATGGTTAATAACTGTTTTAATTTAGATTTATCCCGATCCGAAAATTAAATGATGTGTGTGCGATGTTTTTGAATTTGAATTTTCTACCTGTTTGACAAATTTGACATTTGACATGTGTGATGCCTACTTTTGTTATTTGATTATTTAAGCATACACATAAGTGCAAATTCATACGCAATGTGATCTATGGGTGCGATAAAGACAACTTCCGTTATAGGGTCATATAAAGGAAAAAGAAAGGATGATATTGTGGAATTGCACTTTTCTCACTCTAACTACTGTTTTTTAATAATCTTTCTTCGTTCAACTCATAAAATTGACCATATTGCAAACAAATTTGCACTTACCCATATATCGAAAGGGTTGATTATTTAAATGAATCTGTCAACACAAAATTGATGGAAATTGAGTAGAAATGGAGACTTCTAGATGAATGAAACACTATACAAGTTTCTTTAGAAAATAAATTATTCAATTATAAAAGCATAATTTTACTGTTTTGTAAAAAAATCAATAAAATTGTACTTACGCAGGCCATTAAACAACGACGAATATTTATAAGTATTTCCATAATACAAACTTCAACAGACTAAAAATATTTTCTGGCAATGCCAAGTGTTGACCAAAATGCAAAATTTAAGGTCGTCACGATAAAAAAGGATATATTATAGATTAATGGAAGATTTTGTTGTGGGAAAAAGAAACAGCAGAAATTCATATAAAATAATGGCCTAATATTAATACTAAATATACGAGGGATGCTTCCAAAGTACTGGAAATGGAGCTCCAATTAATTAAAGCATAACTTATAAGCAACGTTATTAATGACTGACAACTGTTGACATGTTTATACAACTATCCAGTGCAACATTGTGCAATATTTGGTGTCTTTGATGTCTTTAATTTTGACCTTTTTTCCACCCAAAAGAAAATTACTGTTCTTTAAGATTTTGCAGAGACTTCCATAGTTACAATTCCCAGAACTTTGGCAACATCCCTCGTATGTACATTATTTGGTTAATTTCACTTTATATCGTATACTCAATCGTCGTATTGACCTATTTAAAGAAAGAATGCACAATCGACTTTAAGGTTAAACTTAATTTTATCAATTTAATGGTCAAAATAAACAAATTAATGAATTGATTGTTAAGCGGGGACGAAAATTAAAGGACCATCTGACTATAAAAAAACGGTCGAGTTTGAGACGCATTTAGTGGACAATTAATCTTGAAATTAACGTCCTAATTGATACTTGCAGTTTAGCACTTGCACTTGCACATCAGTTATTTTTAACAGAGCAATGAATTTTAATAGCTTAATAAATCGATTAAAGTGTTATCAAAATTTCATATTTTGGTAATATTAACGTTTTAATTTTTTTGAAGCACATATTTTAAAAATGCACTCACTCACTTCTGCTAATTTTCAATGACTAAAAGAAAATTGCTAAAAAATTATTTCCAAGAAACATGATCATGTGCCATTCGATAAATTGAATAAGTGCCACATTAATTTCTATTCATCACGACAAGGAAATTTTCTCTTCAAGCACTCTGATTTTCTCTCATTACCCTATTAGTTTAGTTGCTCACTAACCTAGAAGACAATGAAAAGCGCCATTTCCACTCTTCTATGACGCTCGTCTTGTTTAAAACAATTATTGCGCAAAGAAATGAATATAAAATACACGAAAGTATAAATTTTGGAAATTTTATTACAATACAAACATGCAAAATATAAAAACTTATGCTAATTTAACTTATACACATACCAAATATCTACTAAAATTAACATCCAAAAAATCAGTTACAACTAGTGCACGAAAGTGTACTCTCTCTTACAAATGGGACACGCCGAGGAATTGCTCAAGCACTGCCTCAAGCAAGCGGCGTGAAAGAGATGTTGACAGGGCGTCACTCTAGCTCTATCCATCTGGCTCAAACACACCGCGCAAACATCATCGCAGTTTCTAATTTCGTCCTCTGTGGCCCGCCTGAACCGCTCGAGCACCTCCTGCTCGGATCGCAGCTGTCTCAAAGAGTTCAAGGCCAGATCTTTGGAACGCAAGTACACCGTGAGGTAGAAGGCCAATATCGTAAACCTCGTTTGACCGTGGAAACTCAACAATATCACACCGACCACCGACAGAGCAGTGGTGTAGTACTTCAGCAAAACGGGCGCGTAGAGCGGCTCCAAGGCCTCGAGCGATTTGAGCTTCAACCACAGCAACACCGGCAGGAACATGTCGACAAACACCTTCTCCGTGCACACGTAGTACGTCCAGGTGACGAACGTGTAGAGAGCGGTGGGCTGGTAGTGCTCCAAGCCTTGCTCTAAACCGAACACCAGCAGCATGAACGTCACGGTGATGATGAAAGTGACCGCTTTCGTCCATTCCAGGACGATCTTCGTCGCCGACATGGCGACGTGCTTGATGTTGCTGTGCCGCGTCATCCTGACGGTTATCGACCAGTCTTCCTTTTCTATGAGCTCCTTGATGTAGCCGGTGCAGTAGGCTATCACGTTGTAGAACATCAGCGAGTAGAGACCGGTGATCTTCTTCTGGGGGCAATTGGCGCCGCCGAAGTCGCACAGCAGGACTCTGTCGCACACCATGAAGAATACCAACTGGAAGCGAGATTCAAATTCAAATTCACGATTGGTTTAACTCTAATTATTGCGAACCAAGTAGTTAAGAAACTATAAAATCATTGGAGTTCAATATGAAACAAATGGCAATAATATCAATCATTTACCTGTGTAGTTAAGTTTGATATGTTAGACATCTTCATGAAGACTTTTTCGCATCTATCTAGTGGCTCGTATATTCTGTAGAGCACGTAGCAAACTGGTCCATAATACTTTGTGAAAAGGGCTGGAAAAATAACATGGAATTACTATACTGGCTGATATTTTGAATATTGCTTAGAAAGTAAATAAAAAAAAAATTAGAAGGACTTTTTTTCAATGCTGCCGACATGTTTACTTTCTCTAACGTCGTCGTAGGTCAGTCGTTTATTTTTAGAAAATAAAACTGCGAAATTTGGTGTCGAAATGAAGGAGAGAAACGACAGCGCTTAGACACTTACATGCGGCTATTATCTTTTTTTTCCTTCTTTAACGCAATTTGCAAATTAATGATTTTGTATTAATTTATTCCGAATTTAATAGTGCTCCAGATCAGCGGCGGTGTGCGGGAAATTTTATTGAGCAATATTCTTTATAAATACTTGTAAAAACATTGAATTTTGTCAAATTTTCAAATGATATCTATAAATTTATTAAGTTATTTATGTTGTTGTTATTCGATGTTTGAATAAAAATGAAACTTTTGTCCTTGCACGCGTCAGGACGGCAGTCTTCTGTAGAGGAAGTCGAGCGTGCATGCTTACATTCGATATTGGAACAAACAAAATTTATCTCGTTTTTAATTAGAGAAGAAAAGAAACAAACAAAATATTTAACGAACTTTGTCTTTTTAGATTATGCAATTAAATATAAAAATCCCGACAAAGATGATTCCATTCCGTTGAGCCGGCAACAATAACCCCGATTGTTCTGTTGTAAGCAGAGATAATTTCCTGGTAATCTTTATCGAGGTTGTTGCATGTGTCTCAGCTATTTCGGTAATTGAAATTTAACCCACATTTATAGGATAATAATAATAATAAATCGTATTTAATATAAAAACTTTAATCGTCGTTACTCCCGCGAATTCTCATTAGATATATCATTTTTGACGATTATATTATTCCATAACGATAAATATGCACGTTTGGGTCACGGAACTTTCAAACTCTCTGTATCATTGTTTCTAATAATAGTCGTCGAACGTCGACGTCGTGTTGCATGAACTATTACTGACAGGTTCAATAACGACAATTATTATTAATGATGAGCTGTGTATTATTTTCGATGCGATTACGAAGCAACAAAGTAACGATTTAATAAGGCCTTGTCGTTCATCAGGCTCTCAATCGATGATTATTAAATAACCGGTAGCATTTAGTCACTATCAAAGCATACTACACCATTTATTGATAGTAGTAATGACATCTTTAAAAAATTCCTTATTACTGTCTACTATATTATCTTGTTCTATTTTGTTGTTATATTTGTTTCTGTATACTCAAACATTTTCACTCCTTTTACAACAGTTTATAATCAAAATTTGTGTCGAAAGGAGCGATCAGGATAATTTTTCTACGCCATTGCTTACGCCCTAGTAAAAATTGTCAACTTCTTTGATATGGAACAAGCAAAGAGGACATCTCGAGGGTGGACGGGACAATATAAAAATGGGCTCTGGTTTAGACTTGTCCTCATTGGCAGCAAGTGCTCCAGCCGCAAGACTACCAAAACAGCCCTTTTAGGTGAGTTATTTTTTCTAATTATTATTATAACATCATTTAAAAAAAAGCCCAATTATTTCAAATTGGTAGCCCCAGTGCTATACAATTCACTTGAACACTTTCAAATCGGCCGAATTTATTACTGAGATTTTTATTAGACATTTAAAACAATCTAGGTGGTTTTCCTAGACATTTCAAAATTCAAACAACAACCCCGTAAATAAACTAGACACTAATATGTTACATAAAACGAAATCGAAATGAGTTTGTTCGCCGGCGTATCATTTAATGGTACGTGTGTGTTGAACCGTAGACATCACACACATCGACAACGATTGCTTTATTATGTCTTACCTATTATCTTACTGCTGAGTTGCCTCAACCATCTGACTGGGTACTTATAATTAGCTGAGATCAGCACGGGTAGTACCAAAAATGAATAACTGGCCAGGCACCAACCGCCCAGGCTCAGCAGTAATGGCGCGTGCCCTCTGGAACAATACGGCAGTAGGAAGACGACGGACAGTAGGCACACTGGAAAAGATATAATTTAATATACAGAGTGTTAGAAAATAACTGTTATAGTTTTCTGGGTTATGCACCAAGTAATAGGACTTGAAAAAGTGTGCTCTATGAGCTTTCGATTTGGATCTAAAGATCATTGAAGATGAGCTCCATAAACTCAATTATTGTGGTACACCATAGAAGTGGTAAACCATATAACCTTTTATATGGTGTGCCACCTTTATCTACAATAAATTGAACAACAAAAAACAGCTTGTTTAGAGCATATTAGAGCATATTACACTAGAGGTATTTTTAAACACATTGATTGCAACTTTGGATATTTTTAGAATTTAGATTCATAAATATATTTGTAAATTAAATGTAGTTGCAGAGGTGACACGTAAAATCGGTGTCAACATTCTTATAATAAAGAAATAAATTTGAAATAGGCGCCAGTCAACTTGTTGATTACACATGTACTAACTCTATAAATTTTCACCATGATAAAGGAACCGAATAATTGATAATTAAATAATAATAAAATCAGAAGTGGGATTAAAGAGTGTAACTTTTAGGGGCCAATTTAGCACAAAAGTAGGCCTAATTTTCTTCAAGGATTCACCTCCTTCATTAAAAAACATATCTACCTTTTAACTCTCCCTTGAAGTTAATGAAGGACATTTACAATTTTTCTTTTGTATATCTCCACTACTACGTTCAAAGGACATATGCACCGCATCTAATTTTCTAATGTTCGCCCTCATGTCATAATGTAGTTTTAGGTACGACTTAGATACGTCTTAAAATATTATTTACGAGCCGCTAAAGCTTAGATAATTCAAACGAAATGGAATAAAATGTTCTAAATTGAATAATGTCATTTATTTGGTTTAGTGGGCGCCTATGAATAGAGTATCCATTAAAATTAATTCCATGGGCAATTGGAGAGATGAAATCAAATACATACACGGCTACGTTTACACCGAAATCGATATAATGTAAAATTGCAGGGGTTACTGACTGATTTCTTGATTCATTTTTTACCTGATGTATGATTTACCGTATGTTGTAGGAAAAAAATAGCTACACAAATTATTTTATTTTAATTTGTTTATTTTATTTTATTTATTAAATTTTAAATGGTTTTTTAGATAAATCTAATTTATATTTATTTTCGTAAATTTTACTGATAATTTTGGAGGTCACTGTATCAATTATAAAGTCCTTAATTACTCCAATTAATATTTGTTTAAATTTGAAACTTTTTATCTAATCAATCACTACAAAAATATCCTGTAAACGTGGTAATAATTTTCTTAAAGACTGTGACATAAAATTCGACAAAATTACTACCTATTAAACTCATTGTAAACACACTTCCTGAATTCTCTCACTGTACCAACTTCGACTTTTGACTTTAAACTGCTCGTAAATTTTATGGAAAAATTACTTTTTTTTATTATCTATTATTAAATTGGTGACAAATCTTTGGAAAAATATTCAATGTTTCTCTATCAAAATTATAGTAGTAGTATACTATAATTTACGTGGATTATTTACAAACATCGAACAAAAGGTGCTTTTGTTTTCGCAGAAAACTCTTCAAACGTAATGTACCATAAAGCATTCGCATCAAAATATTTTTAAAATTTTCAAATTCGACTTGTTTATTACGAAAATACATTAACACAACGCACTACATTTTTAGCAATACGTACATTGGGAACTGCAACTAAAAATAAATTAGACAGCCGTTAAAAATGTACGAATATTTCTAGAATTAGCGCTTTTGATATCGGGGGACGCCAGTTAAAAGGGACCTGTCCCCTTTCGATACTTAACAGGTCATGGTCATTTGCACTTGCACTAGACAATATGTTGAACTTATGAATAAGCTCCGCTTAATCAGCCAAATCAAAGTACCACTGCACTATACATAAAAAGCTTCCGATTTCACACAGCAGCTTGTATTCTTAAACCCACTCACCAGTCTCTGCGATTTTTTCATCCCTCTCTTCGGGGTCGATTTTCGGCAAAGCGTGAAAACTCCTTAACCTCCCCCTGACTCTCGTAATCATCCCCATAGCTATCAAACGACCATGCCACGCAACGGGCGAACACTCTGTGACTTATCGACGCGCAACCTTCACGTTTTCACCTCAGAAAAATAATGGCACCACACGCGGAACCCTTCGGCCGTGCAATCGAATCGGTTCGAATGGAGTTCGAAATTTTATTCCCGGTTGGATAAATATTTATCCCGTCACCGGGAGGTTTACGTGGCGTTTCGGTCGAGCAGAATGCGAAAATTGTACGGGGGTATATTTGCGTAGTGGAAACGCGGCGTTGCCGCTTCCCCGGGTTTTCTATTTTTGGTTTTTCTCGGCGGCGGAAAAGCGATGGAAATCCGACATGTGCAGGATGTTGTGAACTTTTCGCTATGTAAATATTTGCTTGTTTCGATCGAGGGTGCGTGGGTGATGGGATCACTATTACATTAACTATCTATTTAAGGAGCTAAGTGAATTTGCTCAAATATTCAGATTTTGTTAGGGACACCTTGTAATTATAAGAGAACCACCCGATTTCAAATATCGTTAACAAGTAAGCTTCTTCTATCCTTCATATACATTTTGTCCCCCAAATTTCGTTTCATCCTGCCCTCATCAGATTCTGATTTTGAGATCGGATTTTATTAGAGACACCCTGTTATTATAAAAGAACCACCAGATTTAAAGTATCGTTAACAATTAAACTTCTTATATCGCTAACATCAATGATTTTGAGATATAGTTCAAAGACTTCTACTGGAGTTAAAAATACCAATTGATGATTGAGCGACCGCAGTTAAAGAATGTTTACCAAACACTGCAATTTATCCTGATGCTTTCGTCGACGCCAATCCTGCTTTAGCCGTTCAAAAACCTCCTCTTTGTAAGCAAACAGTGCCGCATTTTCGTTCTGAGTCAATCACCTGAAATGATCGATTTTTTTGTTCGATTGTTGTTTATCGAACGAACGTCGGCAACGCAGCTGAGCGGTCTTTTGGCAAAGCTGATGATTTCTGAATCTGAATCGAACGCACGCTCGAGTTTAGTAACACAATGCGTTATTTTTAACGTTGATAAACATGTTTTCGCTATACGATTTCGCATCCCGGAGGCTGTTGAATGGGATCGTCTATTAGCATCTACTCGTGCGCCTTTTTTTTTGTCTCAATGTATCACACGATAAATTTAATAACGAGGAATCATGTCGTTTCCGTTGAAAATGTCGCAATTTTGCGTGGATTTTTGAATGAATCAATTTTTTCGGTAACTTCAGCCAAGCTGCAACAGGGCAGCTTAACGAAAGGCTTTCATAGCTAGCGAATTTTATGCATATGTGCAATCAAAGTAGACTTTCCTAACACCGAAATTTATTTCGGTAATAAATATATCTAGAGACTTTCTAATCCTACGCGTCGGTGGTTTAATTGCGTCCTTTAAACCTTTCGAAAATCCTTTTATGTATGTGGGGTCTCGCGAAGGCGGGAAAACACATTCAAGCAGGTGACGGTGATGTGTCTACGTTTACGCTGGAATTGCACGAAATGCTATTTTCGCTTTTCCGAAAATCGGTTTATGTCATTTGCGAAATATTGCCAAAAATATGATCAAATCGTTCCTTAATCTAATCTTTCAGTCAGGTGGTTAAATACCTACTAATACTAACTTTCCACATCTACTTATTCTTTCATACTGATTGTGAGTAACACTATCAATTTGTGTAGATATTAAACAATCCTTGAATCCTGAAACCCCCGAATAAGCAAATTCTCTTCAATGAATTTATTTATGCAATAAAATAATTATAAATAACTATTCAACTTTAACTTCTTTTACAATCAACTCTATATTAAGACATGTTTGGTTTTATTATCTTATTTTGATCCGCATAATCTATGTTTACTTTATCGCGACCAATTGCTTTGACTGAATTTCGAAGCCGCTATTTCCTGACGGGATTTTCGTGTCTTGGTGGAATTTATTTTTTTTAACATTCCTGAAAAATCAGTTGGCTTTAAAAATACCGAATTTTTCGCGTTCGTGCGGTTAGTGTCCTCATTTATTTCGAGAGCGACGAAGCGATGAAGAGATCGGGAGGAACAGACGCCTAGTCATACGCCTAGTCAAATAAAGCGGGATTTATGGCAATGCAAGTTTAGTGGAATTCTACTCAAGATTGCAAAAAATGTGTAAATTTTGTAGAAAAATATATAAAAAAATTGCAGTGGAAACTTTTATTCACTACTTTACTAAAGCGCTATTATGTATTACTATATTATATCTATTACCTACATTAGGTAATCAATGAGAAAATTATTTAAGGAATGAAAACAAGTTAAAATTACCTAATCGACTGAACTAATTAAAATTCATTTCGGCAACAAGAATTCAAGAATATTCTAGAATTAAGTATCAAAGTTCGAAAAATCCTAATTAAAAAAAATCCTGGTCTTTTTTAATAAATTATTGCTTTCGAAATTCGTTTGTTTACGCTGGTATAATGATCTTTAAATCGTTTTACTGTCTAATTAATGAACACCATTAAAATTGTAGATAATTGATTGATACCAAAAAATAATGCACCGTTTTATAGAGCAATATCTATGGGTAAAAGGAAATTTGTTTGCAATTCTATGAGTTGAACAAAGAAAGGTAATAAAAATAACAGTGGTAAGAGTGAGAAAATTGCAATCACACTATATCACTCTTTCTTTTTCCTTTATAAAGTGTCTAATAGAAGTTGTCTTTTTCACACCCACATATGTAATTATTGTTCCAGTTCGTTTGTTCTTTTTTCCATATTTCTGTTTGAACTATTACTATAACTTCAAAATTAATGTACAGATTTTATATTACTATATTTAATTTTTATTCTTATTCTTAATTAATATGCGGTTCTTCAAAAACCATCAAAGAACAAATTACTCTCAATTGAATTTTTTTTCAATTAAAATGCCCATTGAAAACCGTTGAAATTGCTTTTTAATTAACAAAAGCGTGTAATTTGTATCGTTAATTACTTAATTATTCAAATATATTTAAGTTTTTTAACAATGTTCGGTATTTTATAAATTGTGCGACTAGAACTCGGACCAGTGGTTAATCAAGCAGTGTAAGTAAGGCGATTTTAATTCGAAGTGATAGAAATTTTTGAATAAAATTAACACAAATTAGTGGTACAAAATAAGAGTAGAAAAATAAGCTTACTTGATCGATGCATTAATTATTTTAATGTACCTGTTTTAAAAGTCAAGTAAAAACGAGTAAATAACCTCTATTCTTATTTTGTACCTATTTTATTTTCGAATTTATTTATTTTTTGACCTGCCAAATTTGAAATGGACGCTTACGTTTAAATTGACTATATCGACAAATGTCTCTGTTTTTGCAAATTGGAAAAATGCCAAGAATTTAATAAAAAAACAATTTATCCGCCTTTTCGGGATCAAAATACGAGATAGCAGGCCTCTTCTATCTTAAGCTTAACAGTTTACATTAAAATAAACAACTCGCCTGTATAAGATTGTTGAGTGATGCAAAGAAGTAAATAGAAATCGTAATTTTATGAAATTCAAGTAAGTAATATTCGTTTCCAATAATTTTTGTTTTTTAATCCCACTTCTGATTTTTTTGAATGACCAAAATTAATCGCAATAATTACTAATCGAATTATGTATAAAGTATATTATTTGTAAAATACACACATTTACATACAGTAAGACCGTGACATAAAAACAAGATAAAGTATCGATACTTCGGAATCGCATTGATCCGATCTAAAAATAAATTAGAGTTGTTATTTCATTTTTATTACTAAAATGTTTTTCATGCGATTTTTCAAAGACTTTTTCGAAATCGTTTGGAGTCCCTGCCAAAAGTCTGATAAACTTTCAAACTTTAAATCGATCAAAGGAAAATCCAAAATTCATTTGTAAAATCTTATAAATTAAGAAAATCTTTGTACTGTATACAAATTTAGAAATACTATATTTTCAATAAGTAATTATTTCATTTTGATTTCTAAAATATGCTACACTAATACGAGAGCATACAACAGTGATAGAACATTGTTAATTCTTTAACTTGGGTTTTGTTTTTAATCTAATTAAGTAAATATTATTGAGCGAGGAGCCATGTATGTACAATATCAATGTTAAAATATTACAGTTCAACGGTTCAATAAAAACAATTATATAATTGAAGCATTATTAAAAATGATAATTTTCGAATGACACTAAAATTATAAGACCGTGACATACAAAGGATGTTACAAAATTGTAGTTTCGTGTTTCTCGGGCGATGCAGTTAATTCAACAAAGTTTTAATTGACCAGTTATTTCATAAAAGTAATACGAAAATGTAAGTACATACTCTAATGTACCAGGAATAGGTGTTATTTTATTGAGTTTCGATTTGGTTCGGTCTATTAAGGAAAAAAAAAATTCTAAATATCTCAAAATGCAAATAACATAAAAATTACTTTTTTAACAATTCATTATAATATTAAAAATAATTCAAAAGAAAAAAAAAAACAAAAAATTGGATGTACCCCTGGTGGGACTCGAACCCACAGTCCCCGGCTTAGGAGGCCGATGCCTTATCCATTAGGCCACAGGGGCTTCGAATGTAAGTTCTGTTAGACGGCATGTTAAACTAAGAATCGCTTACGCAAAATTAATACAAATTTTATGGAAATATAATTTTATTTTTGCAGAAATAATTTGTTAATAATTATTAGTTAATTAATTTTTCGTGTCACAATATCATCGTATTAAAACTATTAAAGAAGGATATATTTAAATAGTCGGTACTGTAGATATACAGTGCTTAGAAAAATAAAAAAATTGATGAAAATAATGCAAGAAAAAATAAAAATTGTACTATAGAGAATAATATGAAAATAATATTTTTTAAATTAAACTTAAAAAAATTTACCATTTCTCATATAAAAAATTACGACTTTTTCTATTAAAAAAATCTTCAAAACAAATTACAAACGCCTTTCCAAATCGCCCAATTAATTCCTTCTCCTAATAAACCAATACAAATTAGACCGTGTTTTGAATTTCGACAAATTCTCGCTAATCTCCCATCTCGGGCGGCGTCTTTGCGCTCCTAATTTTTTACCCATAGGTCAATCGATAAAAACAAAAATTCTGCATAATATTCCATTCGACCCGAGACGCTCGCATGCATAACAACATCGGCGTTTGTCCCTTTTTTCGAGCGGGGCCGAGCCGCGTCCAAGTCGGCCCCGTA